GGGGTAATTTTTCCACGAGTAGTTGTAAATTGGCTGTGTCCACGGGAGGAGGTGAGTTCAGAGTCTGCCTATGCCGCCATCTTGACTCCCAGACCTCCAGTACAATTTTATTTATTTATTTTATTTATTTTTTTTTTTGTGAGGAGATCAGCCCTGTGCTAACATCCGCCAATCCTCCTCTTTTTTTGCTGAGGAAGACGGCCCTGGGCTAACATCTGTGCCCATCTTCCTCCTCCAGTACAATTTTAAATAGAAGTGGTGAGAGTGGATTGTCTTGTCTTGTTCCTTATCTTATGGACAAAGTATCCGTTCTTTCAATATGAAGTATGATATTAGCTGTGGTTTTTTTGTAGATGCCCTTTATCATGTTGAGGAGCTTCCCTTCTATTCCTAGTTTGTTGAGTGTGTATGTGTGTGTGTGTTTCTTTTTTTAAATCAAAATGGGTATTGGCCTTTGTCAAATGCTTTTTATATGATAATGTGGTTTTTGTTTTTTATTCTATTCATGTGGTATATTACATTCATTGATTTTTGGATATTAAACCAACCTTGCATTCTTGGGATAAATCTCACCTAGTCATGATATATAATTCTTTTTATATGTTGCTGGATTCAGTTTGCTAGTATTTTGTTGAGAACTTTTGCAACTATATTCATAAGCTATATTGGTCTGTAGTTTTTTTTTCTTTGGTGATGTCTTTGGTTTTGGTGTCAGGGTAGTACTAGCCTCATAGAATAAGTTGGGAAATGTTCCCTCTTCTATTTTTGGAAGAGTTTGTGAGGAATTAGTATCAATTCCTTAAATGTTTGGTAGAATTCACAAGTAAAGCCATCTGAAGAAAAGCCCGGGCTTTTCTTTGTGGGTAGTTTTTGATTTACTAATTTAATCTCTGTTTATTATAGGTCTTTTTAGATTTTCAACTTCTTCCTAAGTCAGTTTTGATAGTTTGTGCATTTCTAGGAATTGTCCATTTAATCTAAGTTATCTAATTTATTGACACACAGTTGTTCGTTATTTGTATTTTATTCTGTGAATGTAGCTTGCTGTAACTCGTTTGTTTCTACTTTTTGCTGTTAAAGACAATGCTGCAATGAACATTTTATTGTATCTATCTTTGTGTACATGTGTAAGTGTGTTTATAGTATAGATTCCTAGAAGAGGAATTGCTGGGTCAGAGGTCTGGGTATTAAAATGTTGATTGGTTCTGTCTCTTTGTCCTCTTTCTGCTCATCCTTCCAGCCTTATTGATTTGTGTAAGTTCCTTATGTGTCGTAATCTTGGTCTCCTGGAGACTGGAGTTGGTAAGAGTGCACAGAGCAAGTGGGAAGGACAGGTTTGGGAGCTGGGGGTTTGGTGGCTGCTTTCTGGTTAAGGGTGCTCGATGTGGGTGCCCCAAGCTTGTCCTCAACTCTGTACATTCACATGTGGGATTTCCAGACCCTGGAACCTGAACTGCTGGGAGGTCAGAGACTCTTTGCCTCTGACAGGCCAGCTTTGGACTGGTAGAGGTTTTTGGAGTCTGCAGCAGGGCTGGGTCTCCCTGGGTAACTCCACAAAGGTCCTTCCCTTGGAGGTTCTCACCTGAGAATTCTGGGGGCAGCAGGGGCTCCAGGCAGTTCTGGTGCATTGGTGCCTGCAGAGGAAGGGAGAGTGGATGCTCTACCTCTGCATGAAGAAGTGACAAGGACATATGTGTTCCTCCTTATCACTGCTTTCTTTTCTCTCCTATTCATCTGGGGACTGTCTCTTCTGGACATTTATTAACTCATGGGTTGCCAGTGCCCAGATATAGGCAGTGATCTTTCGACAAATGTAGCTGTTGTTGTGGAATGGGAAGTGGGGAAACTTCTGAGGGACCCCTGCATGTGTTTTGTTAGAGTAGAGCTTCCAGCCCCTCACCTCTCCATTCCACTGCCCTTTTTTCCTTTTTGTCTTTACCTGGAGTTTACAAAGGTGGCACCAAACCAGGTTAAAGGTTTGGACTTACATAGTTCAAGATTTTTAAAATAACCCATCAGGGCCCCTGGGAGCTGTAGTTCAGTGGTTTTCAGGCTTTGCTTCACAAGCTGTAGGGTCCCAAAGCGGTGCCTTGGAGGCAGGGGACAGGGGCAGGCAGAGGAAGCACATCAGAGGCTCAAGCCCCCGTGGCTGCTCTGACAGAGCGGCTCTGCCTTTACTGGTTTTATATATTGGAGTTCTAAGTGAGATTTTGTATGAGGAGACAGAAGGGCTGTGTTGCCACAAAAGTTGGAAAACTACTCGTGTTGGCCATTTTGGCCCCACTGCTGGGTTGAAAACATCCCAAACACAACTCCTGCTGGAGGCCAATCCAGGGCCAAGAGGCGTCTGGGGAACCCGGCTCTCCCCAGGGCCATTTGCCAGCCCAGGCACATTTTATTTTTGCTTTTGTTGTATGGGGTGTTCTGGCCCTCCAGCCCTGCAGAGGCAAAATCAAATTATCTTCTCTCTTGATCCAAATGAATTTTGTCCCCGGGGAAGCCCTGGGCTAAGCTTCCGGAGAGTTGGTGAGGAGGCTTTCTTAGCAGACCTCCTGGCTGACGCCCCGCCTTTCTTTCCCCACCCTCTTTGTGTCTTTCAGTCGGCGGAGTTCTTTGAGATGCTGGAGAAAATGCAGGTGAGCATCCCCAAACTGGAGAAGCTGAGCCCCAGTGGGGGGTGCCGCAGTGACCTCCGGGACACAGTGCCAGGCAGAACCTGCAGGCAGAACTCGGGGGCCTTGGAGGGAGGGGCAGATGAGAGAGAACTCACAGCCCAATGGCCCGGACAACCTGAGGCCACTTCCATGTTGAGCTGCGCAGGGGACTCTGGGGAGGCTCCTGCCTGAAGGACAGGGAGGAGATAAAAACAGAATCTCCCAGCAGAGCAGACGGGGATGCCGTGAACCCCACAGATGTGGGGAGCGTTTGAAAGGGTCCGTTGTTCCTGGAATGGGTGTCTGCAAAAGAAAGCTCCTTCTCAGGGGAGTCATTTCGTGTCTGGGAGGCAGAGCAGCGGGTGGAAGACAGACCTGAGTTCAAATCCTGCATCTAATCCTGCATCTAACACTTGCTAGCCCAAGTTGCTTCCCTTTTCTAAGCCTCTCGCTCCTGTTTTCTGTCTACTCACAGCGCTATTCTCACCTCACTCTGACACCAAATGTGTGGTGTGGTAGTCTTCCCACACCAAAAAATTCTGCGACACCAGCTGGGTGTCCTGCAATTTAACTCAATTCTGACACTGTCTACCTGGACATAGTGTCAGTCCTGCAGGTAAAGGGTTCAGTCCCACAAGACTACCCTCCTCCCCCCACCTCAGACACCAATCGAAGACCAGGTTGTCACCTGTGCTTCTGACGAACTAGATATAAATTGGAGGTTCCCATGACCTCTTCCTCAGATTTGATTAATTTGGTAGAGTGGTTCACAGACTCAGGAAAACAGTTTACTTACTAGATTATCAGTTTATTATAAAAGGATCTAACTCAGGAACAGCCAGATGAAGAGATGCATAGGGCAAGGTATGTGGGAAGGGGCACAGAGCTTCCGTGCCCTCTTTGGGCACACGATGTATTCACCAACCAGGAAGTGCTCCAAACCCCATCCCTTTGGGTTTTTATGGAGGCTTGTTTACATAAGCACAGTTGATTAAATCATTGGCCATTGATGATTGATTCAACCTGCAGCCCCTCTCCCCTCCTCGGAGGTTGGGGAGGGGTCGACTGAAAGTTCCAACCCTCTAATCAGGGTTTGTTCCCCTGGCAACCAGCCCCCATCCTTAGGGGCTTTCCAAAAGTCAGCTCATTAACATAAACTCATTAATGTAAACTTATGAATAACAAGATACTCCTTTCACTTATGGCTTTGCAGCTGTTTCAGGAGCCAAGGACAAAAGGCCAAATACTATAACAAAGGATGCTCCCATTGCTCTTACTAAGGAAATCCCAAGGGTTTTAGGAGCTCTGTGCCTGGAACTGGATGAAAACCGAACATGTATTTCGTATTATAAATCACAATATCACAGCTTTTATAAATAAGAATACAGATATGTAAATACTTGGTAGACACGGCATAAAAGTCAGTGTTCAATTGGATTACTCCTCACCAAGGGCTCAGGGCTCACAGGTAAGAACCACTGCCTTAGGGAATATGGGGAGAGGTCCAGAAGGCTGAAGTGATACAGGTAGAAAGAGTGGGAAGAAGATGCGGATAATAGCCTACATATGCCGAGCGCTTGTCTGGGCTCGGAGATTGACAGGTGTTATCTCATCTGACAAGGCACGCAGGAAGCAGGTGTATTATTATCATCCCCATTTCACAGGGGTGAAAACAGGCACAGAGAGATTCAATAAAGCACTCAAGGGCTCATGGCTAGTAAGTAACTTCAGAGCCAGAAGGCTTAGCTATTATATTATGATGCTTTTTACCCTAAGTAGATGCTACAGGCTTCAGGAAGGAAGATTCTGTAGTAATGGTCTGGAAGCTCTAGGAGGAGAGGCGAATAGTGCCCACCACAGTCCTGAGATACAGGTGGAGCTGCTTAGAGGGCAGCTGCAAGCGAGTGTGGTCCTCATGGGAAAGCCAGTCTCTCGAAGGGTGGGGAAGGGGAGGGACCGTTTGAGGGAAAAATATTGTTAGTGTTTGTGTCATTATCACGAGCAAGTTATTAAGATCCCTCTCTATGCCCAGCAGTGTGTGGACTACAAAGTAATTTTATATGCATTTAGGGAATTTATAATCAAGATGCGGAAACAGGACGGCACGTGCCTTGACAGCCAGTGGTGGGCGACAGTGTACAATTAAGTGCTTAGTTGCTTGGAGTAAAGCTGGAATTTTCACCTCAAGCCCATGGAAGCCCGGCACTCTGGCAAACTGGCAGGGAATTTGTGGTTCACTCATCCTCGCTCTCCCTTCTCGCTGGGTGCTACCGCAGTCCACCCACCCCACACCCCCAGCTGGAGCCTCCCGCCTCCCCCACAAAGGGCTTCTCTGAGCACATAATTCAGCCCCACTTAACCGGCCTCATATTGTTCTGTTGTTTTGAGGCTGCTGGGCTTGACTTCTCAACTAGACTGGGAGCCTCTCGAGGGCAGGGGTCTGGTTTTTATGCTCCCTCTGTATCTCCACGGCAGCTGACACCCATCGATGGTTTGCCGATTCCACCCCAGTTTGAGATTGCAGGGGGCTGAAACCGACCTTCCCAGTGTTTAGGTCCCTACTATGTGTCCCCTGGGCCCCAGCCTCTGAGGGGTCCACAGTTTCCAACTTCTCTCTATGTGCAAAACTCACATATGGGGAACCGGTGGGGATGACGTGGGCCTCATGGGGTAGCCAGATCTGTCCTTGAGTATGGATGCCGTCTCTCCCTATCCTGCATTGGTGGAGACTGAGGCGCAGAGCAGTCAAGTGTCCAGGGGGCTCTGTGGATTGGGAAGAGCCGAAACTAAGCTCTGGGACTCCTGACCCTCAGCCGGAGAGTCTGGGGATTTGAAGAAGGGCAGTCCTGTGAAGCAGCAGGCGCCAAGTGCACAAGCTTTGGGTCCCTTCGGTCCTGGGTTCAAGTTCTAACCCTGACGCTCTCTAGCTGAGTATCCTTGGTCAAGTCACTCTACCTCTCTGAGCCTCAGTTTCTTCGTGGCTGGGGAAGGGGGGAGTATTGATAATACCTATTGTAAGGGATAGGGAGGCGAGGCGAGGCCGGGGAGAGGGCCCAGTGCTGGGCGGTGGCTCTGTCATGGGGGAGGGGATTGGAGGAGGTTTGCTCTCCTGCCCCAGGAGCTGCTCCCAGGCAGGATGACTAACGCAGGACAAGCGAAACAAACTTCTGACATCACCCCTCTCCCCATCCGCCCAGTTTGCCTCCCTGGTCAGGGTCTGCAGGCCACCCTGGTGGTTTCCTCCCTGTGCGGGGAGGGGAGCACCTGTCTGGTGGGAGGGGCCCTCCCACGCCCTCCTGAACCATGCTGCCGGGTGACTCAGCCCAGAGAAGTCCGGAGAAGCTGAAGTCTAAATCCACCCAGTTAGCAGGAGCCCTGGGCTCCAAGGGCTGCGGGACTTGATCATGCTCTTGGTGGACAGATGGCCCAGCTTCAAATCCAGGCCTTGCCACTCACGAGCAGTGTGACATTAGGCAATGAACCTCTTCCCTGGGCCTCAGTTTCCCTGTTGGTGAAATGGTGCTGTGGGCTTCAAAGGAGATGACTGAGCGAGCGCGCTCCTGAAGGTTAACATCTGGATGCATGATATGATGAGGCAGCGCTACTTTGGGACTTTTCTCTCCAGAGGGGACCTGTTCCTCCTAGTTTGTCCCACTGTCTCATGCCCTCGTTGGATTTATTCAAACAATGCTGGGCACACCACGTGCTCCCCTCCTGCAAAACCCAGTTAAGTCAGAACTTGACCGTAGGACCACTGGACAAGGCGATGCTCTCCAGAAGTGAACATTCCAGGTACCTGCAGGTGTACTCTTAGTCCACTCTTGGTATCTGATCCTTGCATTGATGCCTCTGTGAGGTGGCAGGGCAGATGAATCCCTACCCTTCATTTCACAGATGAAGCCATGGAGGCTGCAAGAGGCTCGACTTTGTCCAGGGTCACCAGTAGTAAGATAGCAAAGGACAGGCCCAGGCCCCGCCTGTCACCACAGGGCCTTCCTACCAGGGAGGAAGTGGAGCTGGTGTGCCGTGAGGTCCAGAGTGCTGGTTCTGACACCCACAGATGCAGGTCCCCATCCTCTCCCCTCACCTACTGGCTCTGAGAGCCTGGCAGAGATATTTAAGCACTAGGATGATAATACCGCCTACCTCATGATAATAATAACTCTTAGTTTTTACTATACCAATCACTGTTCCAAGGGCCTAACACGTTATCAACATCTAATCTTTACCACAATAGTAGGTACTATTATCATTCCCATTTTATGGATGGGAACATTGAGCCACAGAGAGGTTTTGTGACTTGGCTTGAGGTCCTAATGTCATAAGTGGCAGTGTTGGGATTTAAACCCCAGTGATCTGGCTCAAGTCCCTGCTCTTAACCCCCTGGCCTGCTGCCTTGCCTGGGACTGCTGTGAGGACTGAGCGTGAACAGCCTTTACAGCTGTCACTGTTATTATTACTAACCCCTGGCAAGGCAGGTGCTCCCAACAGACTCCTACATTTGGCCCCTTTTTTGTGACCTTTTCTTTTTCCATGGATCCTCTTTTCCTTGTTTCTGCAGGGGATCAAGCTTGAAGAGCAGAAGCCGGGACCCCAGAAGAACAAGGTGGGCTGGGCGGGTGAGGTATCAGCCAGGTGGTCCCGGCGAGGGGCCCTGGTGAGAGGAAGGCAGGGGAGCAGCCGTGTGCTGGGGTCTGCTATCTTACACCATCTAACTTGGATTTTCACCAGGAGCCGCTTAGGTGGCTGTGCCTCTTTGACTGGTTTACGGTGGGAACTAGGGCGGCCCTGGCTTGATGCCTTTAGGGCAGCTTCAGGGCAGGTTGGGGGTGGTATCTAAGGCTTGCAGCTGGGCCTGATTCCTCTGTACCCCCTCCTGCAAACGAACTGCACACAGCTTTTCTGGATATCATGCTGTGGGCTCCAGCAGGTGTCATTCTCAGCTTCAGGTTCCATTTCCAAGGCCCAAGGGTGCAGCTCATCACTTGGAGGTCAGCCCTCTTGCCTGGAGGGGGCTGGGTGGGACCAGGGTCGTCTTCCTGTTACAACATCTAGGGTGAGAAGCTAGTCTCACTAACAGTGTGAAATTCAGCGCCTCTGTGTACTGCATCTTCAGCTAGCAGGGTTTGCACTCAGGTTCTGTGAGTTTGGAGAACTCAAGAGAAGCCAGATCATAGAGCTGCCTCTAGGCTGTTCTTCTGTCTGGTGTTCTTCCCGCTGGTGCTCCCAAAGCCCTGGTGCAGCCTGCCAGGCCCCCCAATGCACCCCCTCCCCAGACCTTGGAGTGGTGAATGGAAACAGTGATCGAACTCTCTGGGCACTGCTGGGACTAATGGTGGCATGTCTGTTTGTCTTGCAGGATGACTATATCCCGTACCCCAGCATTGATGAGGTAGGAGCCCCCCTTGGTTGCACTGCAGCCCGCTCTGGGTCCTGTCTCTAGGGCAGAGCTGGCGGAGCTGATGGTGATGATGGTGATGGTCCCTACCCAGCCCCACATGAGAGAGAACCTTGGGCCTGGGACTTGAGGGCCTGAGGCTTCTTCCCATCTTTCCCTTTGTGACCTCAGCTTCTCCGTGTTTAAATTGGGGGTGCCCATCCAGGCCTTGCACCTCTGGGGCTACATGGTCGGTGAAGCTGGAGATGTTGTGGGGCTTAGAGGAAGGGTTCCTGCCTTCCTCAAATATGGGGGTCCCCTCCTTGGAGCATTTCAGAGGTGGGTGGGGACACCACCACTGGCGCCCCTCCTCACCCCCTGCAGACCCAGGGCAGGCTGCAGTGCAAGACCCTCCCTCTGCCTCCAGGTTGTGGAGAAGGGAGGCCCGTACCCCATGATCGTCCTGCCCCAGTTTGGGGGCTATTGGATCGAGGACCCGGAGAACTTGGGCACGCCGACCTCCCTGGGCAGCAGCATCTGTGAGGAGGAGGAAGAGGACAGCTTCAGCCCCAGCACTTTCGGCTACAAGCTCGAGTGCAGGGGAGAAGCCAGGGCCTACCGCAGGCACTTCCTAGGGAAGGTGAGACCAGGGCCCTGGGCAACGGTAGCCGGGGAGGGGAATGCACCAGGGAACCCCGCGTTGCTCTCCAGTGCCCCTTTCTTGCCGTTTCTTCTCCTCCCTGGTCCTGCCCCTTCCTTGCTGCCTGCCTGGTTGGAGAAGTCTGACTGGCTCTGCTCCTGGGCGGGGGGACAGGGGTGTGCAGAATTCAGGAAGGCTGAGTATGATGAATCCTTGTGGGGACCACCCCCAGGAGATGTTTTAGGAAGTGATGGAATGGGTAGTTTGGGGTGAAGGAGGGTGGAAGAAAAAATATTTTCTCACACCTTGCAAGTCCTTGTTTCCGTCTAAATTGTACAAATCTCTCATGTCCTCATTCAAGCAGGTGCCCCGGGTACTTGTACTGGATGATGTACTGTGAGCCTCTGATTGCTTAAAAGTGACAAAGTTACATTTCTTTAAATATATTCTGCCCTTCAGACTTGCCAGGTTCCAGAAGTCTCGAGGGCAGGTTCTGGAAGTTTCCAGCCTAAGGCAGCTTTGCAGTCTCTCATGGAGGAGCTGCATCAGAACCCCCCATTAACATCAGAACTTGTTAAAATGAAGATCCCAGGGCCCCATTGTGTTACGGCAGGTCTGGGGTGGGCTCCCTGAGCCAGGGAGAGACCCACCATCCAGAGGACCTCCAGCTCCCCTTGGGTGGAGGTGCCAGGGTTCCTCCTAGCTTTCTTCCCACAAGTAGTCTGAATTGGCAGGGGTGGCCCCCAGGAAGCAAGAAAGTGGGCTCGGTATCTTGTGGTGAAGAACTTGAGCTTCTGTCAAGACAGACGGGTTTGAACCCTGGATCTGTCACTTACTAGTTGTGTGACCCTGGACAGTTACTTAACCTCCCTGAACATCGGTTTTCCCATCTGTGAAGTGGAGATGATGATATCTCCCCTGTGAAGCTGGGGTCAGGATTAAAGGAGATAATGGGTGTTAAGCCCTTAACCCAGTGTCTGGCACATCCTGAGGACTGGCAGTTGGAACGTGTTACTGTGATCCTCCTCCCCCTCTCCCCAGTCCTCTTCCCCCCAGTCCTCCCCCCCCATTCCCTTTTCCCCCTTTCCCTCTCTCCTCCCTTCTCTCCTCCTCCCCATTCTTTCCTCCCCTTTCTCTTTCCTCTCCTTCTACCCCTCCCCCTACTCTCCCTCCCCCTTCTCCTTTCTCCTCCTCCCCTTCCTCTTCATCCTCAATTGCAGCCACAGAAGTAGCATCCTTCTCTTCCTTGTTTCTGTGGGGCTTCTCACTCCTGGTGAAGGAGGTGATTTTGGGGGCCGTGTCTGGAAGGTCACCTCCTCCCCGTAACACCTGATTTCTGTTTCTAGGATCATCTGAACTTCTACTGTACCGGCAGCAGTTTGGGGAACCTGCTTCTGTCCATCAAGTGCGAGGAGGCTGAGGGCATTGAGTACCTTCGGATCATTCTCAGGTGGGACTGCTGCACTGTTGGAGGCCACGCCTCTGGTGGCAGGGACCCAGAGACACCAGTCTGACCAGTCTGGTCTGGTGTGCTGGGGGGAACAGACCAGCTGGAATCCTGGGGCTGTGTCCAGTTGCCAGGCCGGGAGACCAGTGTTTATGCCAGCTGGCTGATTGCGGAAGTCAAAGTGGTGTCCTGGTTTCAAAGTCACCTAGAACATATCCTCACCTGCCTCTCTCTCTTCTGGGGACCGTGGCTCTGAGGACGATGGGAAGGAAAAGTAGGGATGGCTCATCCTGCTGAGACACAGCTCCAAACTGCCCTGGGAGAGGGTTTGCCAGAACACTGCCTCTGGTGTGCATCCAGTCACAGTCGGGAAGATAGATCCCGAGGCATCTGTGTGTGTGCTGCCTTCCCTGAGATGGAATGACGGTCACAGCGGGAGCACTGATTTACAGCTAAGCCAGGGCACCTCTCTCTGGATTATGACCTCCTCATGGGCAGGAACTGGAACTGGTTTCAGTTTTGTTGGACTGACATGTTCTGTAAAACCTCCTTTGCATGGGGAAGGGTGATGGTGCTGGGGATGCAATGATGACTGAGTCGTGGTCCCTGCTCTCTAAAGGCTTACGGTCTAGTGGGAGAGAAAGACAGAGGAGTTTCATATGTGTCACAGGCTTTGTTTTAGCAACATGCACAGGATGCTCTGGAAGCACAGAGAGTCTGTGTCTTATTTATCTCTGTCCCTGGTGGGCTGGTGGAGAAGCCAGGAAGGCCGAGGATGAAGGCCAGGTGCTGGTGCTCAGCTGAGTGCTGTGAACCTGTCAAGCTCCCCGTCCATATTTGTTGAATCTAATTGGAAGTCTTGGAAGGTATTTGGAAAAGAGCAATAACATTTTTTTTTCTGCCCAAATTTTGAGCTAAATATGAGAGGGAACAGGGACACGTAGCCCTGCTGTGGGAGAGGTGGGGGAGGGGATGGGACGAGAAAGTTGTCAGCACCCATCGGATCTTGGTTTGCTTTTTTTTTTTTTTTTTGTGAGGAAGATCAGCCCTGAGCTAACATCCATGCTAATCCTCCTCTTTTTGCTGAGGAAGGCTGGCTCTGAGCTAACATCTATTGCCAATCCTCCTCCTTTTTTTTCCCCAACGCCCCAGTAGACAGTTGTATGTCATAGTTGCACATCCTTCTAGTTGCTGTATGTGGGACGCGGCCTCAGCATGGCCAGAGAAGCAGTGCGTGGGTGCGCGCCCGGGATCCAAACCCGGGCCGCCAGTAGCGGAGTGCGAACACTTAACTGCTAAACCACCGGGCCGGCCCTTGGTTTGCTTTTTATTAAGAAAGGAAGCAGTTTTCTTTACTGAGGTTCACCTGGCTAGAAATCATATTAGCAAGGCAAGGAAGAGTCGGTTAAATTGCTAGAGCCAATTTTCTGAGGGAGTAATACCTGGATCCCCATCTCCAAATAGGATTTCGAGCTAGGTGAACCTCTGTAAAGAAAATGACTTCCTTTCTTAGTAAAAATCAGACCTCGATCGGGTAGGATTTCTGAGTAAGATGACAAATGAACCCAAGCATCTAACCCCTTTTTCTAATATTCTAGTCTATCTGAGATGCTGCAGCAGGACTGAAAACTAGGGAAAGATGCCAGAAACACAACACACATTTTGATGATATTTTTTTGTAATGTACAGGGCAGTTAGGACTATAATGTGGGTGATACTGAGAGTTGAACCCCAATTCCCCTTCCTTAGAAAGCAACGTAGTGTGGGAACATAAAATCGGAGATTCTGGGGGAAGCCAGTACTCTTTTTTCTTTTTCTTTTTGCTGGGAAAGATTTGCCCTGAGCTAACATCTGTTCCCAATCTTTCTCTCTCGCTCGCTCGCTCTCTTTTTTTCTCCTCCAAAGCCCCAGTACATAGTTGTATATTCTAGTTCTTCTACATGAGCTGCTGCCACAGCATGGCTACTGACAGACGAGTGGTGTGCTTCCGTGCCCGAGAACCCGAACCTGGGCCGCTGAAGCAGAGCATGCCGAACTTGAACCACTAGGCCGTCAGGGCTGGCTCAGGAATCCTGTACTCTTTAGAAGTGAGGGTAAGCCCTGGAACAGTCAGGGGTCTTTCTACACGGAACCATTTTTGTTGTTTTGAGTCAACAGCATTTGAAATCAATGCCCAGGAGAGCCCAAGGGAAAGTTCAATGTGGCTCTCCCAAATAGAAAGCCAGTGAGTGGGATGGCGGAGGGGAGCCATACACCAGCTAGGAAGTTGGACAATCACATCATGTAGGTGGAGTGATGGCCAGGCCAAATCGAAAACCAGACATAAAAAAATTGGCCCCACGGCTTAGCGTCTTTACCAGACACAAAGAAGAACTTATGCAGAGACGAAATTCTCTTGCTGGCAGTGACTCCTGTCCCAGCTTCTTCCTCATTCCCCGTAGGCTTCTGGATGATTTAATTGATACAATCAGCTCTCCAGTCTAAAGTTTGAGAAGAGTATTCTAATAGCCTCTGTGTGTGTCATGAGAGTAGCCAAGAAGACTGTACCCACAATTTGCAAACAAATAACAAGCCTGAGTACATTTCTTCTTTTTCAAGTTTAGATATAAAGAAGAAGAAGGAAAAAAAACCCTTACAGGTCAGTGAAAGAAAAGATTCTGCATCTAAAAAAGCATAACCTAGCATTTAGAAGGTAGGGAAGTAGCTGAGTTTTGAAAAGGATTTACTATAGAAAGCCAAGTAAAATTTAGATATTAATTAACTCTGTTTTCAGCATATTTCAGTATTTCAAATGTTTCAGTATTTTCAGCAAACTATAGAAAAAATAAATTCTATGAAAAAAAAGACAAAAGATAAAAGGAGACGACAGAATGAGATGAAAAATTTGCTGGTTTAAGTTAAGGAAATTATATAAGAAAACTAAAAATGGCCACAAAGAATTTTAAATGGTATTAGAAGCAGTAAAAAGCAGAATCTACCTTGTAGCAAACCCAGTTAGTAATATTGAGGACAAGCTTAAGAAGCTCTCACGGGGCTGGCCCCGTGGCTTAGCGCTTAAGTGCACGTGCCTCTGCTACTGGCAGCTCAGGTTCGGATCCCGGGCGCGCACCGCTTCTCCAGCCATGCTGAGGTGCTGTCCCACATACAGCAACTAGCAGGATGTGCAACTATGACATACAACTATCTACTGGGGCTTTGGGGAAAAAAAAAGGAGGAGAATTGGCAATAGATGTTAACTCAGAGCCGGTCTTCCTCAGCAAAAAGAGGAGGATTAGCATGGATGTTAGCTCAGGGCTGATCTTCACACACACACACACACACACACACACACACACACACACACAAGAAGCTCTCACGTAATCAAAGGAAAACATGACAACTTTAAAATGATGAGCAAAATTATAATGAATATGGAGGATAGTAAGCAGGAATTAAATGTGGATAATTGATGTTCTTAAATTGATACTTAAATCTACAGATCAAAATGACTCACCCAGTATCAGACAAAATCAAGGAAAGGAAATTAATAGCTGGACATAATTTGATGAAAATTTAATATTCTGTGCATATAAAATCACTGGTAGAATGAAAATATTCCAAATAATAAAGGAACACAAAGAAAACATACACAAATAGAAAAAGATAGGAAATAAAGGAATCATAAATATGATAATAGAAGTAAGTCTGAGTATGTAGATGATGTATGATAAATGTAAATAAGTTAAATTCCACTATTAAATAGCAAAGATTCTCAGTTTAGGTCACCCTTCCAAAAAAACCCAAAACCAAAACCCAAACCCCACCTGTCTATCTATATTTTATTGAAGAAAGTAACTCAGTATATTTAAAAAGACAAGTGTTGAGAAAAAGTTATAACAATCAAATATAAAAAGGAAGCAGAATTGGCAATAGTAATATGGAAAAGTAGAATTCAAGGCAAAAAAGCAATCAGTGTGACAAAGAGGGCTATTGTCTGTCCATGGAAGATAGGATCTACAATGAAGATATCTTATGAACCTTTTTATTATTAATAGTATATATTATAGTGTGTATATATGTAATGATTAAAGTATGGGGAGAAATTCACAGAATACAATGGTAGTGGTAGATTTTAACACACTTTTTATCACCTAACAGATCAACTAGGGTAGGAAATGAGAGGATATGGATAATCTCATTAATATTATTTATGTCAATTATATATATTGATCTTTATCTGTATCTAAATGTAGCTATCAAACTTTGATCATCTAACAGAGATTTCTGCTTCTTTTCAAGTGCCTATAGAATATTTACACAAATTGTAAGGTTGATCAGTGATGGATCTGCTACAACAGAATCATCTTGGAGCTGTAAAGCAAAGCAAAACAAAGCAAAAAACAAAACCCAGACTTTAGGCTCCAACTGTTTAAAAAACAATAAAAATTAAAACATACACATACATAGATATTTGAATATAAATATGTAAGATATATAAAGTCACAAATAATAATATATATCCCTATTTCCTCCTTATTTCCATAACATTCTATAGAACATATTGTTCTGTAACTTGCTTCTCTCTTAACAATATATCTAGAGTTCTTTCCATTTTAATACATAAAGAGCTTCTTAATGCTTTTTACTGCTGCGTGGTATTCCATTATATGGATGTGAAATAATTTATTTAATAGATCCCCTGTTAATAGCCATTGTCAGTCTTTTGGTGTCACAAATAATGCTGCAGTGACTAACCTTATACAAATGTCAATTTGTATGGATTAAAGTAATTTCTCAGAAGTGAGATAGCTGGGTCAAAACATAAATGCATTTGTGTCTTAATAGATATTGCCACATTGCCTTCTGTAGGAGCTGTATAAATCTGAATTTTCACCGGTAATGTATTAAAGTGCCCGTTTTCCCAGAGCCTCTCCAACAGAATGTTTTATCAAACACTTGGATTTTTACCAATCCGATAGGTGAGAACGGTATTTTAGTGTAGTTTAAATTTGCGATAATTTTATTGAATGATGTTGGGCATCTCTTTATACAAGGACCATGTGCATTTATTTTCTGTGAACTGTCTGTTCATAAGCTTTACTCCTTTTTTAAAAAATTAGATTGTTAGTCCAAATTCCTACTTTTAAAAATCTTACAGATAATTTTTGATGTCGGGTAGGTTTAGGAACCAGTCTTTTGAGCCACAAAGTAAATCCAAATAAATGTCAAATAGCAGACACTTTGCTGGATGTTTTTGCCTACAATTTGACAATAAAACCAGAAATTAATAACAAAATAATGTTAAAAAAACCCCACTTAACCGCTTAGAAATAAACAATGTCAACACTTTCCTAAATAACTATTGGGCTAAAGAGGAAATCAAAGCTGAAGTTAAAGAATATTTATAAACTAATGACATTTATAGTATTATGTATAATGACTTATGGGTTGTGGTCAGAGCTGTACTTAGAAGAAAATAATTGCCTTAAATAGTTTCTTATTAAAAAAGATAGAATAACATTTGCCAGTTGTTGTTGTTAGTAACCTCTGTGTGCCTCGGTTTCTTGATCTGTGAAATGGTAGATGGCAGTATCTACCTTAAAATTATTGAAAGCTTATTGTGTGCCAGAGCCTGATACACTGTAGCTACTCAACAATGGTAGCTGCCATTTTTATCAATATTGTTACCTAAAGAAAGTAAGAAGAAGGAATTAACAAAGATGAAAGCTGAAACAAATGAGAAAAAGAACACAAGACTTGATAAATAAATCTAGGCTACTTCTTTTGGGGAACAAAACAATAACAAAATAGGTAACTAGCTAGTCAAATATAGATAAAAAGAGAAAAATACACAAAATTAGGCAATAAAAAAGATATATAACCACAGATGTGAAGAAGATTAAACAATTACTAATAGATGTTAGTAGATGTTATGTTCAACCCACGCTATTATATTGGAAATTTTATTTGAAACAGATGCCTTTTGTGGGGAGGGAGGAGGGCAAAAGGGGTGACTGGGCACATGTGTATGGTGATGGATGGTAATTAGATTTTGGGTGGTGAACATGATGTCTACACAGAAATCAAAATATAATGATGTACACCTGAAATTTATGTAATGTTATAAACCAATGTTACCTCAATTAAAAAAATAATAAAACAAGCTTTCTTTCAAAGAATCTCAACAGACATACAAAAGCTTAATCATGGTAAAAAAGAAAAAAGAAAAAGATGCCTTTCTAGGAAAGTATATATTACCAAATCTAACGTGCGATAAAAAACCTTACCAGATCAATAACTGGAATAAATTGAAAAAGTTCTCAAAGAATTATCTCCAGAAGTTTCTAAATCTAGATAGTGTGCAGGTAGTTATTTTAAACTTGTAAGTAACAGATTTCATGCTATTTATACTGTTCAAGAGAAAAGAAAAATATGGAAAGCTTCCCAATTAATTTAACAATGCTTAAAAGATTCTCCTGAAAAAATCAGACCAATGAAATGCCAAAAAAAAAAAAAAAGACGGGAAAAAAAAAATAGGAGCCAATGTTCTTAATGAATATAGAAGTAAAGATTCTAAACAAAATACCAGTCCTAGCAACTCAAATCCAAGCAGTCTGTTAACAGAATAATTCACTATAGCCGAGAAAGAGTTACTTTAGGAATGCAAAAGTGGTTAATATTAGGAAATTCATTTATTCATTCAGTGTTTAACAAAGGCTTAATATGTGCCAGACTTTCTCTAGGGGCAGAGATAATGTGAGCAGTAAGCTCTTATCTTGTTACCTGGCTATAGAAAGCATTCAGTGTGTGTTAGATATTCTTATTCCTGTTTTCATTCTTACTCATCTTCTTCTTATGGACATGGATTATTATAGTCTAGTGAGGGTGATCCAGGATAGATGGTATGGGAGAACTGAAAGCAGTTCAAAAGACCTTGAATGTGGAATGTGTGTCTGAATGTGTATAAGGGTGAGTATGTGTAAGGTTGAGAGATCATGCTGGAGAGGTAAGAAAAGGCTAAATCATGTATGGACTGTGTCTAGGAGCTTGGATTTTATCCTGTGAGCAATAGGAGAGCTCCTGAAGGGAAAGTGTCATGATCAGATTTGCACTGTAGAATGATCACTGGCTAGAGTAAGGAGCATGGCTTGGAGGGAAGGCAAGGCCAGAAACAGGAAGATAAGTCACGAGGCTGCTTTGATGAGTCAGGTGATTATCACAGGTGATTATCCAGACCACCAGGTTGCACAATGTGAAGGGTGCCCCCAGAGCTGTGCAAACCAACAGCCCTGTTGGGAGCTGAACCAGGGTGCCTTGCACTGAGGATAGAGAAAAATGAATGGAAAGTTCCAAAACACCCAGGGAAAACTGACATTAAGAAAGCCAGCCAAAAACATTAACAATGAGCTGGATTTACTGTTGATGAAATGCAGATAGTGGTATACTTTCAAAATAACTTAAAATAAATATATTTAGGATCTTAAAAAGATAAAGAATGAATAGCATCTATAAAAGGAATAATAAATTATGATACAATGAATGAATAGAAATGAATGCTCCCCTGTACTATAAAGTCCCACCTGAACAGACCCCACGAGAGGAGCCTTGTCCCTGCCCACCACTGCCTGTGACTGGGTGGCTAATTCTGGGGTTTAGTTAGAAGATCCATTTCATCTTCACGCTAAGCTGTGTGCTTCCTCTTGGCCATTATCAGTAACAAAGGAGTTATTTGAACTCCTAACTGCCTTACTCTTGACTTTTTTGTTTTGCTTCTGAATTTGTTCATAACCTGGGCAGGGAAAGATGCCCTTTACTAGAGACCTCAGCCTACATGCTGATAAAGAGAACAGTCCACCCAGAAGATCTAATGGTCGTGAACTTGTACTTAGTAACATAGTCTTGAATTTAAAAAGGCAAAAATTGACAGGAATATAAAGAGAAGTAGAAAAATCCTCAGTTATGGTGGAAGATTTCAATAACATCTCTCGGATACTGATGGACCAAGCACACAAAAAATTGTGAGGAAATAGAAGATTTGAACAATACAATTAACAAATTTGATCTCATAACATACATTCCTGAACTCAACAAAAGAAAAAAAAATAGATTCTTTTCAAGCCCACATGGAACATGAAAAAATAAGTCCATGTATTGTCAACAAATTTCAAATAATATCATACAGATTATGTTCCCTGAATATAAAAAAATTAAACTAGAAATCAGCAATTAAAATACTGAAGGAAGAAGCTCATACATTTGGAAAGTTAAAAAATAAAAGTGAATCTTTTTAAATAACTCATGGGCTAAAGGGAAAGTCACGAAAGAGCTGACAAAATATTTAGAACTAAATGACAATGAAAATACTACCTATCAAGGGGTGTGGGATGCAGTTAAAGTGGTGCTTAGAGAAAGATGTATAGTTTTAAATGCCTTCGGAAAAAAGATGAAAGATTAAATGAGCAAGCATGCAGGTCAGGGAGTTAGAAAAAGAATAGTAGAAAAAACCCAAAGAAAATAGAAAGAGGGAAATAAAAATGATAGGAACAAGTTAGTGAAGTAGAAAGCAAAAATAAAAACAATAGAGATGATTAACAAAACCAAAGGCTATCTCTTTGAAAAAATTAATAGAATAGATAAACCTCCAATTAAGACTGATTCAGGAAAATAGAGAAAATATATAAACAGTATTACAGCCATGAAGGCAGGGGCACAACTACAAAGAGAGACGAAGTTCCAAGAGAATACTCCAAACAACTCGATATCAGTGCATTTGATGGATAATTTTATAGAAAAACATAAATTACCAAAATTGACTCAATAAGGGGTAGAAAACTTAAACTTTTACCATTAAAGAACTGAATTGATAGCCAAAGGTTTCCTCCCACAAAAAATCCGCAGGCCCAGAGATTTCACGCATGAGTTTTAGCAAACTTTTAAGGAACAGAAAATCCCTATGTTATACAAACAAATTGCTCCCAGCAATTTTATGAGGTTGGAATAATATCTGATACCAAAACCTGACAAGGGAAGTACAAGAAAATTTTTTTTAAAATAGGCAAGTGTTGCTGTTGAACATAGATGTGAAACTCTGAATAAAATATTAACAAATTCAATTCATCAGGATATGAAAAAATACATCATGAGCACATGAGTTTTACCCATCGTATGAAAAGATGGCTCATCAGATTAAAAACCATATGATTATCTCAGCAGATGCAGAAAAGCATTCAGTAAAATTCAATGCTTTCATAATGTGTTAAATGAATCAGGAGAATAGGCTAAATTTAGTCTTAGGGTGAATCCCTTTATAAAGCAACTTTCATCCCATTTATATTTTGAGTAAATCCAGATTTTCAAATATTAGATTTTCTTTTCATAAAGGTTTAATTGCATGTGAGAACCCAAATATATTCAGAAGCTGTGCCCAGTTCTTCGGAAAAACAAAAAACCCGCAGACAAACCAAAAAATAATGGTGAACTTGAAGATGACTGTTTGCATTTCCCATATTTCAGCTGCAGACCTCTTTACCAGGCAGGTTCTTTAAGTACAGTAGTCCCCCCTTATCTGCAGTTTCTCTTTCCAAGGTTTCAGTTACCCGTGGTCAACCAAGGTCTGAAAATATTAAATGGAAAATTCCAGAAATAAAGAGTTCATAAGTTTTAAATAGCATGCCATTCTGAGTAGTGTGATGAAATCTCGTGCTATCCTGCTCTGTCCCTCCCGGGACGTCAATCATCCTTTTGTCTAGCTTATCCATGCTGTACGTGCTACCCGCCTGTTAGTCATGTAGTAGCCATCTGGGTTATCAGATGGACGGTCGTGGTATTGCAGTGCTTGTGTTCAAGTCACCCTTATTTACTTAATAATGGCCCCGAAAAACAAGAGCAGTGATGCTGGCAATTCGGAAATGCCAAAGAGAAGCCGTAAAATGCTTCCTTTAAGTGAAGAGGTGAAAGTTCTCCAGTTAATAAGGAAAGAAAAAAATTATATGCTAAGGTTGCTAAGATCTTTAGTAACTTTTGTTACAATATATTGTTATAATTGTTCTATTTTATTATTAGTTGTTGTTAATCTCTTACTGTGCCTAACTTATAGAAAACTTTATCATAGGTAGGTATATATAGGAAAAAACATAGTATATATGGGGTTCAGTTCTATGTGAGGTTTCAGGCATCCACTGGGGGTCTTGGAACGTATCCCCTCAGATAAGGGGGATGACTGTATCCACCTCCCATGGGGTGCCTAAGTAGGATTCCATTTTCCCACCGTTTGAGTGTGGTGCCCAACACATGGATTGAGTGAAATGAGACGGATCTGATCCAGGGGAGACATGAAGCAAGTGTGTCTGTCTTGTGGTCTGGTGTGTTCTCAGCCACCTTCGTCATTGACTCCATTTTTTGTGGACATTCTTTTCTCTTTTTGCAGGTCCAAAGTGAAGACAGTGCATGAACGGATCCCCTTGGCTGGACTGAGCAAGTTGCCCAGTGTCCCTCAGATTGCAAAGGTAAAAACCAATCCCTGAGAGAAGGTGACTTCCTCTTTTAGCCCAGGACTGGCCTCTGGGGTGAGGGAGCAGGCTTGTCCTGGGTGGGCTCTGCCCTTGGGGAGGGGAAGGCCACTATGCTCTTTGGCCCTTTATGGCTTGGATGGGTTTGGGGAGGGCTGTTGGCAAACACCTCCCGACACCCTCCCCATCTCATCCTGGCTGCTGAGGCTGCTCGGTGTAATCCGTGGTGTCTGCCCCCAAGGTCACAGCTAGTTCAGGAGACAAGAGACATGGAGACAGGGCTGGGTATGGAGAGTAGGACTTCAGAGGAGGAAGGGAAGGGGGTGGCCGAGGAGGCTTCACAGCAGAGGAGAGTTGGGCTGAAGGATGGCCAGGCTGTTGATCCAGACGGAGGACCTCATCGGGTGAGGAGCCATCAGCTGGTGGAGAGGCCCATGTCCCTCCTCTGGGGTACTGGGAACTTGGCAACTGAGACAGCAAAGTGGGGTGAGAAGGATGGTCAGCTGGATTGGGTTGCACCTGCATTCTGGGAGCAGGAATGCCAGATAGAATTGTGTTGAAAACTTCGTTGGCCTCCCTTCATCAGGAAACCGCAAGAGGGTTAGTTGACTTTTCTGACCACACGTTAGTGAGCAGCAGAGCCAGGATTTGACCCCAGGACTCATGAGCCTGCAGGTCTTGGCCTCCCATGCTCTTTCTCTTAGTGGGCAGAGGAGCCCACATGTTCTCCATGGATGTGGCCCTTGAACTGTGTGTTTCTTTCTCTCGCTTAGGCTTTCTGTGATGACGCAGTGGGGCTGAAATTCAACCCTGTCCTGTACCCCAAGGTGAGGACCTTCACGCTTCCCCTTACCCAGGGCTCTGCAGCTTGGCACGGATTTGCACACCTGTGGCTCTGTGGGAAGTTCTCTGCCTCTTGGTGGGGGTTTTTTTTTTAATTTTTTTATTTTTTCCCCCCAAAACCCCAGTGGATAGTTGTATGTCGTAGCTGCACATCCCTCTAGTTGCTGTACGTGGGACTCGGCCTCAGGATGAACGGAGAAGCGGTGCCTCGATGCGCACCCGGGATCCGAACCCGGGCCACCAGCATCGCAGCGCGCGCACTTAACCACCAAGCCACAGGGCCGGCCCTTGGTGGGGTTTTGTGGGGTCTCTGTGATAAACCTCCATGTCTCCCCCTCTCCCTGCCCACCCCTTCACAAGCTGTTCCATTGAGAACCTGTCTTTGGTCATGCCTGGGTCTCTGGCCCACCTGAATTGATCCCCAGCTGTTGTGGATGCAGCAGAGATGTAGCAATGTTGTGGCTTCTCCACCTCCCTCTGGTTGTACCTCCCAGAGGCCAGTGCTGGGGTGGGGAGTGATTCTGTTTCTAGCTGGGGAGCAAATGCAGATCTGGTCAACCATCATGGAGGGGTGAGGGGGCAGAAGGCAGAACCCCACTAAGAAAAGGCCAAACCATGGCTCCTCATGGCCAGTGTTACCACAGCTCTCAGGCCTTACAAGCCCCTTCCCGGCCCTAGTTAATAAACTGGTTAGTTCTCTGTTATCGGTTTCCTTAGGATTGGCCTGATCTTGACACCAGTTCTGATGTGGGGGTGTGGGTAGGGATAGGAGCAATAATAACAAAACAAACCAACAAACCCACTCAAGAACTGTTACAATGTGACAGGACTTAAATCACCTGTGGACAGTGAATTGCTTTAAATGGGACACAGGAAGAGACCCAGTACACCGACTGCTTCTGCATAAGCCAACAGGGTCTGGAGAGAGAAAAGGGAAGCAGGGCTGTGATTCTCTTCCACTGGGGGCCAACACTGTGGCAGCTGAGTCTTGCTGGGCCTGGTTCAATCCATCCCCTGAGTCCCAATTCTGATAACCAGGAACCATGTGGTGAAATGTTTGGTGGGGCGGAGAGGCTCTGTCCTGGCTGGGACCTCCAGAACCCCCTGGAACAAACGCTTTAAATGTTCACGATTGGGCATGAACCTCTGTTTATCCCTAAACAGTGGCTGAGCTAATGGCAGGCTCCTTTCCTGCACAGAGAATGTGCCCGAGTCCTCCTCCTCTCAGACACGTCTTTTTAGCCCTTTGAGCATCTGTAGGCACTTACCAGTAATATGCTGCACTCCACTGAACATTTTCTATCCTTCAGACTGCCCTCCCCTTTATAATGAAAGCTGAATTAGTGAGGTTTAACCAAACATTGAAACCCCATCATAAAGGCCTAACTTAACTATAAGTTTGGCAATTTTTGTTGTCAAATCATATCCACTGAGAGAACCCGATGATGCTTATTTGCATAGTTCTCTCTATAACTTGGAAAGCCGCCGGCTTTGGTAATAATGGAAGAACAGCTGTATTTTCATGTTTTCTATATTTGAAGGACTACTTAGTCTGGCTGGGATGTTCATCTGGCTGGGGTGTGTGTGTGTGTTTTTAAAATTCACAGAGTTGATAAGGTCTTTGGAGGGTCTCCACGGCCGGGTGCCTCCTCCCTGGCAGGGCAGCCACTCCTCGCCTTTGACTCATCCTGGGCGGGAGTGGGGGGCTCCCTCTGGGTCAGGCAGCAGCTCTCTTCCAGGGGGTGCTGAGAAGTGTCCACTTCCTCAGGCAGCTGAGAGCCTCACAGAGATGTGTAATGGGTGACAACCTAACATGGGCCATGTATGCCGGCCAACAAGTCGTGCCTGCTTTGTTCTTCCTGTAGCATAACATGTGCCTCGAATGCCTCCTTTTAATTGCAGAGAATATCCCACTAGCACCCAAATCTTTTGTAACAAGCACCTCAGCTCTGATCTTTCTGGAGGGTTCCATAGACGATGATGATGATAGCTGCTCTGTGCTCAGCACTTTATGTGCCTGCTCTCACTGAATCTTCACAACCACACATCTCCATTTAACAGATGAGGAAACTGAGGCCCAGAGAGGTTAAGTGGCTCACTAAAAGCTACACAGGTAAAAGCAGCAGATTCAAAATTAGAGTTTAGTGTTTCGGATCCCTGGACACCAACTCTTTGAAGCACAATGGAAAATTAGATAGAACCAGTAGTCAGGGTTTCACCCCCCCACCCTTTGCATATTGTATTCGGGTATGTCCTCCTTAGAGACCCCTCATTTTATGGATGAGGCGGATTGAGGTCTGGGCAGGGGGAGTGCCTTGCTCAAAATCATACCACTGATTAGAGGTGGAAGTAGAAAGTAGAGCCAGTGTCATCCTCGCTGGCCAGTTTTGGAGTCCTGGCTTCCCTTCTTACACCACAGATAAAACACGGGTAAAGGCAGTTCTCTGAGTTCTGCTGGACTCTCTGTGTGCCCACACCTTGGCATATCTGGATGGGAATGGAATGGGTGATCCAGAGGTTTGGCTACTCCTGGGAGAAGCCCAGGTGCTGGGAACCAGCTGAGACCTTTGCAGTTTCATCCTGACCGTCTACTTCTGACTTCACCCTCTCTCTTCCTCCACACGTGTGGATGTCACGTATCAGGGGGCCCATTCTCTACCAGAATTTGCTTCCTCTCTTGCTGCCAGGTTAATAAAGCATCTGATCTTTTTTCTCCCTGTGTTTTCCAGGCCTCCCAAATGATTGTGTCCTATGATGAGCATGATGTCAACAACACATTCAAATTTGGGGTCGTTTATCAAAAAGCCAGGCAGGTAAGCACCACGGATCCACACTATGTCCTGTGGTTTCTCACTGGGGACTCTTTCTTCCCCTCCCCCAAGCACAGGAGCCCTGCGCTCTGTTCTTAACATTCTGAATACGATGATCACATTGCAAATATGAATTTGACTGGGGGTGGCAGAATCTTCAAGGTGGGCTACTCCTCAAAAAGGCCTGCAAGTGGCAGGCCCGGTGGTGCAAGCGGTTGAGTGCGCGCGCTCCGCTGTGGCGACCCAGGGTTCGCCGGTTTGAATCCCGGGCGCGCACCGACACACCACTTGGCAAGCCATGCTGTGATGGCGTCCCATATAAAGTGGAGGAAGATGGGCGCAGATGTTGTCCCAGGGCTAGTCTTCCTCAGCAAAAAAAAAAAAAAGAGGAGGATTGGCAGATGTTAGCACAGGGCTGATCGTCCACACACACACACGCACACACACACACACACACACACACAAAACGGCCCGCAAATCCTTTTAATGGTAATGTAATTTTTCACACAGTAAATTCTAATTCTTCCTGGCTACCTCACCTTATATTTAACTATGGGCTGTTGGTCATAAGAGAAGTCAGACTGGGTGGACGGAATGGATTAGCACAAGCTGCTGTCTCCTTGCCCACCATTTTCCCAGCTGGGAATTAGCTTTTTCTCCCTAAACTTCAGTCGTGTGCTGGAGCCAATTGTGTGCATCTCTTCCCAGCTCTGTGTTCAGTGACATCACGTTGGCAGCTTGAAATCAGCCACAGTGGAAGTGTTTACACCATGGGAATTGGCGAACACCAGGGCTCCTATTTTCCCTCTTTGAGAGCTGGTTGTTAAAAAATTTATCAGTACACCACTGCTCACCCTCCTCTGTCTCTTGTAGCACATGCTCCTTTGGAGTTAGTTGACCGGAGTAATGTTTCTCAAAGTGTGTTCCATGAGACACTAATCTGGTGAGGTACTCTGTGAACATGACTAGGGGTGGGAAGGGGTGGTCAGTTGTGTGGAAACATTTTAAAGGCTCTCAGAACCCCTAAGGTAAAGAACTCCTTATGACTTTGTTGAACTCAGTGTTTCCCTTACTTATTTGACCACAAACTTCCCATGTTTCCTACTGTGAACATTTATTAACATCCTGAGAAGTGGTCTGCTGAACTCACTGTTTCCTCACCTAGGTTGTATGAAAGAAGGTTCCACACCCATGTCATCTTTGTATCATCCAGGAGCCTAGCATGGTGACTTTATATAAATACACTCATGATTTTTCCTTATGTGAATTAATGAATAAAAGTTTTGACTCTGCTGATGGTAGGTCGATAGTATCTTCCACTATTATCTGTGTTTTTCGTGACAGTCGTTTTTGGCTAGATGATAGCTGACTTCCTTGTCTGAAGATATTAGACCACAAGAGACATGTGTTCACTTAAAAACACTCTAATTAAGTGAAGAGTTTAGGAGCTGAAAGACCAACACAGATGAATCTTATAATTTAAGGGAGATTATTCAGGTAGCTGCTCTAATTAGTTTCACATATTGCATTTTTATTTTGTACAGCTCTGCTAATATAACCTGCCTAATTAAAGTTCTTGGCTTGTGAAGTTTACCAAGGCAGATCTCATAAGGTGATTACAATCCAATGTTCCAGCAAAGTTATAATTACTGAACATTAGCCATCCACCTCTGAGAAGGAGTCTGAGTGTTGTTTACATACCTGATGCTGCTGAGGCGAGGTGGGGGCGTGCAGGGAGAGAAAAGTCTTTTTTTAAAAAACTCGGCAGATTATTGTTTTGCAAACCTATATCCAGGGGGCAATTAATATGAACATTTGTTGCATGAAAGCTCTATGCTGGGTTTAGGCTGTAAATAAGCCCCGTCTAACTCTCCTGTTTGTCAGGCACTGAGCTAAGCACTCTAGGGGACACAGTAATGACTAAGACCCCCTCCCTGCGTGCGTGGTCAAGCTTAAGGCCAGTATAAAAATAAGACGATGCTAATACCCGGCTGGGTGTAAATCCTGGAGAGAGGTACACACCCCAGAGCATAAGCTGGATCGTTTTCCCAGTAGAAGATGTATGTTGCCTGGAAGCAGCTGTTCTCCTGCATTCTGGCCTCATGACCTGGGGCAAATGACATGCTGGGCTAGAGTTGCCGTGCCTTCGGGGGCATGTATTCAGGGACCAGCAAACTTTTTCTGTAAAGGGCCAGATAGTAAATATTTTAGACTTCACAGGCCATACTGTCTCTGTCGCAACTGTTCAACCCTGCCTTTGTAGAGCAAAAGCAGCCATGGACAATACTAGATGAATTGGCCTGGCTGTGTTCCAATAAAACTTGATTTATAAAAACAGGCAGCAGGCCAGACTTGGCCCACGGTTTGCTGACCCCTGTTAGAGAGCAGTGTTTCCCAAACTTCAGACATTCGTAAACTACATCCAAGATCCTATCATTTGTTCCGTTCTATGCCACCATTATATTTTTTATCACACCTATACTATTAACTGCTTAACATTTTCTTTAAAGTGTTTTTCTCACCTTAAATGCATTTTTAGAGGAAATTTTAAATCACTACTCTAATTGGAAAATCAGGATCATTTACATGAAATGAAGGTAATTCTGAAAAGAAATATTATAAAAACAAAGTTATTGAAATCTAGCTAGATTCTGTTGCCTACTGAAGACTTAGAACCTGAGATCTGCTTTTTTGTTATAAAGCAGGCATGAAGGAGGTGTTAAAGAATCACTTATTGAAGACTTTCTCTGTGAAGTGTGCACAGACTGGAGTGTCTTTGTGTCATCCGCAGTTTCGTTGCCGTCTGTGGATGTTTGCAGAGCCTTCAGCTGTTTGCAGATCCTGCCACTGTGGGCAGAGCCTACTGCTCAGGCAGGGCCACTCAGTATTTTAAGACTGTCACAACTGCAGAGCTTATGACTGTTTGCAGTTTTGATTTCTATTTTTTAAAATTATTTAACTTTTTATTGTTAGATATTTGTAAATTTACATGCAGTCATAAGAAATAACACAGAGAGATCTTGTCTATCCTTTACCCAGTTTCCTCAAAGGTAATGTCTTATAAAACTATAACACAGTGTCACAGCCAGGGTGCTAACACTGATACAATCCACAGATCCTATTCAGATTGCCCCAGTTTTACATGTACTCTATTTTTGGGGGCTGTATTTTGTTGTATATAATTTTATCTCGCGTGTAGGTTCTACAGTCAAGATACAGAAGAATCCCACCATCACAAGGATCCCTTGTGTTGCCTTTTTTTAACTATACCAATCTCCCTCCCACCTCCATGCTCTCTTCTCTCTCCAGTCCCTGGCAACCACTCATCTGTTCACAATTTCTAAAACTTTGTCATTTCAAAAATGTTATGTAAATGGAATCATACAGTATATAACCTTTGGGGATTGGCTTTTTTCCACTCAGTGAGATTCACCCAAGTTCTTTGAGTGTATCAATAGTTCATTCCTTTTTATTGCTGAGTAATATTCTATGGTGTGGATATACCACAGTCTGTTTAAACAGTCACCCATTGAGGGACGTCTGGGATGTTTCCAGTTTCTGGCTGTTATGAATGAAGCTGCTATGACATTTGTATACAGGTTTTTGTGTGAACATAAGTTTTCATTTCTCTGGGATAAATGCTTAGGAGTACAGTTGCTGGGTTATCTGGTAATTAATTACATGTTTAGTTTTGTAAGAAGCTGCCAAACTGTTTTCTAGAGTTGTTGTTCCATTTTACATTCCTACCAGCAATGCGTATGAGAGACCCATTTTTTCCACATCCTTGCTAGCATTTGGTGGTGTTACTATTTTTATTTTAGTCATTTTGATAGATGTGTAGTGATATCTCATTCTGGTTTCAATTTGCATTTCTCTAACGGTTAATGATGTTGGACATCTTTTCCAGTGCTTACTTGCTGTCTGTATGTTTTCTTGGCTGAAATGACTGTTCATGTCTTGTGACCATTTTCTAATTGGATTTTTTTTTTTTTTTTTACTATTAAGTGTAAACATTTTTCTAACAACTTTATTGAGGTATAACTCAGATACCATACAATTCACCATGGTATGTGAATTATATCTTAATAAAGTAAACAATTCAGTGGCTTGTAGTACATTCACAGAGTTGTGCAACTATCATCACTAACTCCAGAAAATCTTCATCATCCCCAAAAGAAACTCCATACCCATTAGCAGTCAATCCCCATCACCACTCTCTCTAGCTCCTGTCAACCACAAATCTTTCTGTCTCTATGGATTTGCCTGTTCTGGACATTTCATATAAATGGACTTCGTTCACTTAGCATAATGTTTTCAAGGTTCATCCATGTTGTAGCATGTATCAGTACTGCATTCTTTTTATGGCGGAATTATATTCCATTGTATGGATATACCACATTTTGTTTATCCATTTGTCAGTTGATGGACATTTTGGTTGTTTCCATTTTTGGGCTATTATGAATAATGCTGCTATTAATATTCATGTACAAGTTTTGTGTAGACTTACGTTTTCATTTCTCTTGGGTATGTTCTTAGAAGTGGAATTGCTGGGTCATATGGTAACTCTGTGCTTAGCCTTTTGATGAATTGCCAGATTGTTTTCCAAAGAGACAGCACCATTTTAAGTCCCACCAGCAGTGAATGAAGGTTCTGATTTTTCCACGTCCTCACCAATACTTCTTGTCTTTTTTTTTTTTTTTTTTGATTGTAGCCATCCCAGAGGGTGTAAAGTGGTATCTCGTTGTGGTTTTGATTACTATTGAGTTTTGAGAGTTCTTTACATATTCTAGATATTAGTGCTTTGTCAGAAGTCCAGCTATTAATTTTTCACTTACAGATTGTGTTTTGGTAGCAAGTGTAAGAACTCTTTGCTTCAGCTTTGCTTTTTGTCCTGATCAGCAGCCTTTGTTCTGATAGAAAGTCCTCATTAACCAGCCCTGAAAACCCAGCTCTGTTGAGTGAGCCTCTATCGATCCTTCCTCCAGTTGAGGACAGAGCCACGGGGTGGCGAATGTGTTGGGGGCTGGGGAGAAAGGAAGAAAGGGACCCGGTATCTGGACAACCACATTGCTTCCCTTGGCACCGAGAAGGCTTTTCCTAACTCCTGCCCCTGTTCCTGTTTCTCTTTCAGACCCTGGAGGAGGAGCTGTTTGGGAACAATGAGGAGAGCCCAGCCTTCAAGGAGTTCTTGGACTTACTGGGGGACACGGTCACGCTGCAGGACTTCAAAGGGTGGGTTTTAGCCAAGTGATGGCTCCGGCCCCATTGATGAGGCCCTAGAGGAAGGGTGAGGGGTGACAGCTGAGCTTCAGGGAGGGCGTGTGAGAGTTAAAAACACACACGAGGAACATGGGATTGTTTTTCAGCAAATGATCAACACCCACGTCCCTGCATTCCTAAGGCAGCGGTGGGCCAGGGGATGATCCAGAGTGGCAGATTATCTGAAAGGCACTGACACTGGTCTTAGGGTGCATGATGAAATTGCTCCACCTTGGATTTGCCTTCTTAATTCCATTTGGCTCAGACTGAGAGTGAAATGAATCCATTTTCTCCATCACTCACATGCCAGGCATTCAGGAAAGAGGGCCCTGTGCAGTTTGGAAGGAAATGACCCATTTTAGATAATACACAAAGAGAATGGATAATTAAGAGATGGTGGAAATCTATGCAGGAATCTATGCAACAGTCTATGGTTCTCTAGGTGGACAGAAAGAATATTGGGGCGATTACTTGGAAAACTCTGGCCCTTGATTTTCCTTGACAAAGGCAACATTTGGGAAGGGCCTTCCGACCTGGCCCACCTGTTCTGTGCTTCCTGGCTGGCACACTGCTGAGCCCTGGAATTCCCGACTACAGCAGCCGAATTAGCAGGATCTCCTAACCCGTGCGAAGCACCCAGCTCCGTGCCCGGCATGTAGCGGGCATCCATAGTCACTTTCTCCTCTGCTCCCTTCTCGCCTCTCCTTCCTTCTTTTTCTTCCCCCCTCTTCCTCCCCTTCAAGGTCATCACTGCTGTCTGCAGTCAATCACACATGGATTAAAATCCCACCTCCACCACTTATTAGCTCTGTGACTTTGAACAAGTGACTTGACCTCTGATGTAAAAAGGGAGATAAGATTCCCCCACTAGGTTGTTGGGGAGTAACGTGGATAACGCACATGAAGCCCTTGAGCTAGTGCCGCACGCAGAGTGAGCACTGGTAGTCACTACTGTTCTTGTTATACGACCTTCCATCAACTGTGAGGTGCTATTGTTATAAGACGCATCCTGATTTCAGAGATGTTAAAATGTGGAAAAATGCATGTCTTAGAATAGATGAAATAAAGTATATTAAAACCAGGAAGGACCCCAGAGATCATGTATTCCTAGCCCTTTATTTTGTAGAGAGAGGACACAGGCCTGGAGGGATTAAGTGGTATGCCCAAGGTCACCTGCTGACTTTGTGGCAGAAGCAGGTCCAGAACCTGGAGCACCTGACTCCTGGCCTAGTGTGCTTCCCACCATGCCTGGCTGAGCACATTTTCTGGCCTGTATTACGGTGCTTGTGGGGACTGATGTCCAGGGTCTATTTTATTTCCTTTTCTTAAAGGAACCTGCATCTTCCTTCCCTTGCTGAAGAATATGATCCACAGCTAGCAGCTATGTTTCTATAAAGGAAGAAGGGGCTCCAGGAAGCCCAGTCAGTTCCTTAGTACTTTTCTTTCCTACCTGTTTGAAGATAGCCACAGAAGGGGCCTCCTTGGATACCTCCAAGCTGGGTGCTGCCGTGGTTGAGTCTCACATCAGGGTCTGGCTGAGTAGAAGTCAAGCACCTGTTGCCTCTTCTGGCTGACTCCAGATGCTCCCATGGGGCTCACCACCATCCAACAGGATGGCCGGTTGCCCTGGCTCTGGGCTGAGGGCTTGGACATGGCCTTGCAGAGAGCAAAGGCTTATGCCCAGCCCTGGGGGCAACTGGCACTGGGGACGGCATTTGTCTGAGATTATGGATGGATGACCTCCCTTCCCACACGACCGTATGGTGTGGAGAGGACACAGCCAAGGCTTGAAATGGAGGTTCTGCCTTTGTCTTTTAAATAATGGATTTATGGTTGGAATGCCAGTTTGTGCATCATAGTCTCTCGGCCTCAACGCTCCCATCTTCTCCTTCATTCTCCTACCCCCATATTCTTAGGGGAGGTTGCACCAAGTTGCCCACTTGCCCTCACTCTCTTTCTTTCCCTGGCACCCACCTTGTTTTACTGACAGTTTCCGAGGAGGCCTGGACGTGACCCACGGACAGACGGGGGTGGAATCAGTGTACACGATATTCCGGGATAGGGAGATCATGTTTCATGTCTCCACAAAGCTGCCGTTCACTGAAGGAGATGCCCAGCAGGTAACCTGATTCAGGAGGGCTTTGGGAGCCCAGGGTGTGTGAGGTGAAAGCCTGCTTCTGGTCTGATCTACCTGAGTGCCTGCCGCGCCCCTCCTTCCCCATTTTCATAATCAAGAGGCCAGTCTGTCCAGCTACGTTCTTCTCGTCAAAGGCTGTTCTATTGTGTTATCTCACTGAGGCCGCAGTTGGCAGCCCTGTGCGGGTGGCAAGATGGGGCTCATGGTTATTCCGCTTTGACCGATGGGGGAACTGCAGCTCAGGGTGGTTAAAAGACTGTTTTCCAGATTAGGGGCAGAGCTGGGAGCAGAGCCTGGGTGCCCTGGTCATGTAAGGTGGTGGTGAAGAGTACATGACAGGGTCCGCAGATGGTAGCTTGAAGCCAGCTCTGCCACTTAGGGATGTGTGACTCTGGGCAAGCTGGGTAACCTTGTGGCCTCATTTTCCTCACCTGTAAAATGGGGATAACACCACGTATGTCAGAGAGTTATCGTGGGGATTATGTAAGGTTCTGAATGCAGGGCTCAGTACGATGCCTGGCTTGTGGGAGGCTTTCTCCCTAACAGCTGGTCACTATCCAGGCCACTGGGCTTTTTGCCTGCCTTCCTGCCCCAGCGATGTACAGCTGGTTATTGCCTGAGACGTTCCCTCCCTCTCCCAGCTGTGCTGGTCTCAGCCTCATCTCTCACCACACCTGCCATGGGAAGAAATTCAGCCTTTACCTCAGCCAGGGAGCCCTGGATGAGGCCTCTGCTTCCAGTGTTTTCTTGGGCCCCCCTGCCCCCATTTGCTGCCTCTGACAGCTGCGTGTCCCCGGGGAGAGCCTGGCCTTTTTTCTCATTGAGCCCTGAAGCCGGAGCTGGTCCTGGCTGCCGCACCGTTTGCCCTGTCCCACAGTCTCTAAGAAAATAAGAAAGGAAGGTGGGCTTTCCACCAGACTCTGACCGTTCCTTTCTGCACAGGGAGCTAGGGAGGGAGCACAGATGTGACTTTGTAAACATCGTGCCTGACTTCTTAGGGAAAAAGGAAATTGGCAAATGAGACTGTGATTTGGCTCTAAAATCACTACTGAATGTTCCAGAAGCAAATGGGAGCAAGATTCCGTTTGTATCTGAAGTAGGTTTTCTCTCAGCGTTTCACCTTCAGTCTCTGTTCCGTCACAGCCACCCTCACCCCTGCGCCAGCCCGAGGCTGAGGGCTGTTCTCTGCCCGGCTCTCTTCTAGTCTCACATATGTTCACTGGGAGGTGTGCAGAGCTTGGCTCTCAGCCAGGACTGAATAAATATTAATTTTCTTTTCCCAAGAAATGGGATGATGTGTGTGGAATAAGGGAGGCAATCTGTGTGAAAGTGCCCAGCACGCGGCTCAGCATATAGCAGGTGCTCAGTAAATGAGAAACTCAAGTGAAACATAGGGCCTGCATGCAGTAGGTGCTTAGTAAAGAAAAAATGTGTAGGTAAGCACCTAGCCAGGACTTGGTGTATGGGAGGGCCTTAACATTTGAAATCAGGTGTGTGAACAGCCCAGCATAGTTCCTGACACACAGTAGGTGCTTGGTGATTGAGATAGCCTGTGGGCACCTGGCACAGTTTGGGATACTGAATCGGGGTTGGATCTCTGTCTCCCCCATGACCTCGGCCAAGCCGGGCGGCCCGCGTTTCCCTAAGTGTGGCTCTTCTCCCCTCTGGTATAGAGTGATCCCCGCCTCGACCCTGCTCTTCCACATTTCCATCAAGTGCCTGCCCATCTTCTCTTCCAGGAAGCCTTCTCAGATTACCATCAGGCCTCTGATTTTGCCCTCTTCTCTGCCCCCATAGTTCAGGCACTTTGTGTGCAGCAGCTGATTTAGCGCTTGCTGGCTGGTGGCTTTGTTAGTGTTCTCAGGTGGCTTCACCTGTGTTTGCATCTCTCCTGGATCACTTACAGGCTCTACCAGGGCAAAACCGACCTTTACCTGTTAACTATTCTCCCTGAGTCCTGAGTCCTGAGTCAGGGCTCTGTATGCTGTAGAGCTCAGTAAGATGCTTGCTAGCCTCCCTAACCATTTCAGCATCTTCCCCGTTTTTTTTCTCTTTGATGGCTTCTATAGATTGGAACAAAAAGCTCCCTGGAGAGCTAGGTCTCAGAGTGCGAAAGTTTATGTATAAAGATAGAATAATGAGGAATTTCTTGTATAGATCTGTTCTGCTTTCAGGATGTTCCTAACTGGCTTATAACAGTGGAATACTCTTTGTTTAGCTCCAGAGAAAGAGACACATTGGGAATGACATTGTGGCCATCATCTTCCAAGAAGAAAATACACCGTTTGTTCCAGATATGATTGCCTCCAACTTCTTACATGCCTACATTGTTGTGCAGGCTGAGAACGCGGGCACAGAGACCCCATCCTACAAGGTAAGGAGAAAGTCTTGTTGGAGGAAGTGGTGGGCCCGTCCACCTCACCACACATGATGGATTCAGCGATATTGAGGAACACCAGTTCTCAGTAGCTCCTCAGGCCATTCTCCAAGATGGTGCTCCTAGCTTTGGTGTGATCGATTTTCCCCAAGTTCTCGGGTTTCTGGGATTTGGGAGCTGGACTCTTGGTGGAGGGCTCCTTCTGAGGTCATCTCATCCATCTGGCTGCCTCTGGGCTCGACAGCATCTAACTCAAGGGTTGAGAAGCCCCGGTACCCTTGCTTGGAGTCTGGTAAGGCCATTTGCTAGAGTCTGGAGTAAAGCAGAGCCAGAGGAGAGAAAAAAGAGAAAGTGGAGAGATTGTCAGGAAAGGAGAGAAAGGAGGGTGGTAACAAAGAAAAAGGAGAAATGTTTCTGGTGAGAAGGGTGGAGAGCAGGGGGCCTGCTCTACCCTGGCCACTGGGTGGGCCCCTCTGGTTTAGCTGTTCTGGAATAAGTGATAGACCTTCATTTGAAGACTCCCAGGGGGACGGGGTCGCAGGCACCTGAGTCTAAGCCCCCTGACCAATACGTGTTCTTTCCGATGGGCTCCCAGTCCTCACGGATGCAGAGGAGCCTCTGCAGCCCTCACCCTGCCCGCTCCTGCTGGCTGTATTGCTAACTCTCCCCTTCTCTTCTCCACGAAGGGCAATCCCAACTTCTCGGGCAGCAGTTTCTCTATATCACAGTGGTGTTGGGGGCATGGGACCCAGGGGAGACAGACTGAAGCAGGGTTTTTAAGGTGTATGTTAGTCTTTGAACTCCCTGCAGATATGTGCAAAAGGTTGAGTTTATGTGCTGCTTTGCGTTTTCTGGGGAGGGAGGCCATAGCTCACATTCTCAGAGGTCTCCCTGCTCCCCATGGTGTTAGGAACCACTGTGGTCAGGGAGAGGGAAAATGAGCCTGTCATTGCTAATGGGAAACCAGGAGGCCTGGAAGTATTTCCTGTAGAATAACTTAGGCCGGTGCTGGTGTCTGGGGTGAGTGAAGCCGTAGTGTATCACGGCCATCTTCATGACGTATCAGTTTTGCCAGAAGATTTTGGGAAAAGAAAGTGATGTCATATAATTGTTACATCAGTACAAACCCAGATATATTAAGTGCAAAATTCACATCAACTTTAAAACCAAATATGAGATTTCAAAAAACAAAACACAACTCTTGGTATTGAGGAGAGCTGATTCTTTTACATGCATGTTCATACTCCTCTGTCATTGAGCAGTTTTAGCTAAAAAGTTGGAGAAGCCATGGTTTGGGCATTTCCTTGAAGGCTACGGGATTATCTGTTTTGACTGAAATGAGCATTCACTTTGATGTGTTGATGGAAGCAAGTTGATTTGTTCGGTGCCCACTGTGTGCTGGGCACCATGCTAGGGGTGGGGCATGTGAAAGTGACATACAGAACCAGCCTTCAGGGAAGGGACAGGAAAGCCAGTGAGTGCAGTTCAATCAATGGGCCACTTGAACAGCCAACTGGCTCTTTTAAAAGCTAGTCGAGGCGGAGGGCTAGGATCCCCCAAGTAACGCTGTGGGATAGAAGGTCTCCCAGACCCTGCAGTCATGTGTGTATGTGTGGCTTGTCTGCTGAGCCTCTGCTGGCAGGATGGGGCCTCCTGTGGATGTTTAGTATTTGCTTTTAGTTCCTGATAGGAAATGGAGCTCAGCTAACTGCTTCTCCACTTTCCTACGAGCTCAGCAGAGTGGGTAAAATACAGAGAAAAATCAGAGATCCAAAAAAGCACCACCCCACCTCCAGCTCTGATGCTAGAGGTCTTGACCAAGCCTTCCCAGCCTCAGTCTGTGGTCCAGGGAGAAGCACCGTCCTCAGAGGGTAGTGAGAAGGAGTGAGGCAGGACCCACGGGAAGAGCCAGGCTGTTGCCGGGATGTGGGACCTTGTGCTCCACCTGCCGGGCAAACATCGAGGCTGGAAGGCAAGACCTGTGAATGGGAGTTAGTGGGGGCAGAGAGCAGAGGGGGAGACCAGCCTTCCAAGGTGCTCCCCAAAGCTCTGTCCGTCCATGCCCGCAGCAGCACCCCAGGTGACGAGCAGAGTGAGGAGGGCCTGGTTAGATCCCTCAGAGGGTCCAGGGTGAAATGGGACCTTAGCTGGCTTGGGGCTGCAGGCTTAGGGGCTATGGCAAAGGAGGGTGAGATTTCCCCAGGAGGCCCCCACTGGGGAGGATGAACAACAAGGAAGAAGAGGAAAGGGAGAGAAGGACGGGTGGGAATGGGCCCCAGACCGAGGGGCTCGGGAGCCTGGGGTTCTGTCCTGGCCCTACCTCTGACTACTGTGACCTTGGGCCAGTTCCTTCCTTCTCTGGGCCTCTATTTCCATCTGTGTGAAATGAGGAAGTTGGGCTAGACAAGCTCTGAGATCCTTCCAGCCCTGACATGTTGTGGGAGGGGAAGGAGGGGGAGTTGAGAAAGAGGGGTGTGCGTGTGTGTGTGTGATTAGGAAGTGGTTTGGAGGAACGCTGTAGTATTTCAGGTGTCCTTTATTAGGCGCAGGTCAGCAGGGAAAGTAAAAAAAAAAAAAAAGCACGAGGTGACAATGGTTACCCCTTACTGGGTGCTTGCTGCATACCAGGCACTGTGCTAGGCCCTTAGAAGCACAGTCTTCTTGAATCCTCACAAGCCCCTGGTCAGGCAGGGCCTCTCGTTAGCACTGTTGTACAGGGAGGAAATTGAGGCTGAGAGCTTAAGTCACCTAAGGCCCGAAGCCACAGGGCCTGGGAGCAGTGGAGCTGGAACCCCTGTCCAGGTCTGCCTGTGGTCTTCACCACTGCGCCATTGGGGCAGGTGGGAACTTGGCTCCAAAACTCGGTTGTGCATGAAACATCACATTGGATTATTTTTTAGACATGAATTTTGCCCCCATCCTGCCAGCTTGGAAGGAAAGTCCCGCTGAGCCATCACTAGAACTCTCTCCTCTCCCTGTCTGAGGTCACCCTGCCCCCGACTCCTGAAGTCCCGCAAAGGTCTAGGAATCCTATGTGAAGCAGACCACTGGGGAGGACTCCTGTTTGTGGACCCCCTTCCTCTCACTACTGATCTGTTTGAGCAACCTCTGCCATCCTCTAAGGCTTCCAGGCCACACTTGGACAGATGTGGGGATCTTGTCCAGTTTGGAGCCCTTGAAGATCCCCACCTCCTGGTGCATCCTTATTACTCACGTGCCCCAACCTCCTTCCGCTTTCCAGCCTTGAAACTTCTCCTCCCCAGAGTCACCTGCTGCCTCTCTCCTCAGCCCCACTCCGCCCTGCTGGGCCGCCCTCACTGAATTTAGAAAACAGGAAGGTGGGGTTGTGTTCCGGCAGCTTCTGCTTTCAGCCCAGCAACCCAGCTGTCCTCAGAAGGAGGGAAGAACAAAGGCCCGGCACTTTGCTGGAGAGGGGTCAGGAGAGGGGACACAGTGGGGACGGAAGATGAGTGGCTGTCACCAGGAAGCATCCTGTCTCCTGCCTTTCTGACACGGCTGCTGTGGTGGGCTTGTCTGGCTGGGAGACTCAGTGGATTTAAGAGCGTGTCTGAAGCCACTTAACCAGTCAGCAGAGACCACTTGAAAGCAAGCCTGAGAAGGAGGGGGCGCCGGGGTGGGAGGAGGGGAGAGCTGGGCCTGGCCTCTGGCCTTGTCCCAGTCAGCAGCCTCTCAGTGGCCTTCCCCCCACCCCCTCCCCAGATTCTGGCTCTGTGGTAGAATCCTTGACTTGTGCTATGGGTGCACGGTGGTGGAGGGGGCCTGTGTTTGGCAGCTGGAATCAGCCAGAAATGACGTCAGCCAAACATGCCCCATTTCCTGACTCTGGGCACTGCAATTTGGGCGGTACAGACAGCCTTGAGCTTGGGAAGAGAAGGCTGTATTGATCAGCTCTCTCCCACTCCCTTCCCCTGCAGACCCTGGGAAGGCCTTCCCTTGGCCTGGCTCCGAGCTGCCTGCTCACCCGGTCTGGCAGACTCTCTGCATCTGCCCTACTTCACAGGCCAGGGAGGCTGGCGGCGTGCCAGGACTGGGCTCACGTCAGCGGCTGCCCAGGGAAGGGAGAGGGCAGAGTCTCCAGAGAGGTCTATAGCCTCGTGGGTTGAGAGCAGGTGACACCAGGGCACCTCCATGCAGAGAGGGGAGATGGAGGTATGGGGCCTCTCCCAAGCCTGGGAGACCCCCTGCAGAACACCTGGGTGCTCTCACTCCATTAGTTCCTGCCTCACCCAGACTGGCCAGAGGTGTGCACCCCACCCAGAGCCTGGGACACCCCTGCACAAGCACCTTGATGTTCCCCCCCACCCCAATTCCCAGCCTGGGCCCTGGCACTCTGTTCGTTCAAGCCTCACCCAGACTGACTGGTCCTGCATGTGGGGCCAGGGCTCTCAGACACTAGTCCACCGACCGCACAGAAGCTCTCAGGAGCTTTTAACAGTGCAGATTCCTGGCTTCACCCCAGAGCTTCTGATTCAGTGGGTTTGTGGGGGAGCCCATGCGATCACTACTAACACTTGAAGTGATTCTGATGTATGGCTATGTGTGGGAGTCGGTGTTGTGGGAAAACAACCCCAAAGCAGGGTCAGGAGGTCTGGATTCTCTGTTCCTCTCTGTGGCTGGTCTCCAGTGTGCCTTTGGGGGTATCGCTCCATGTCTCTGGGCATCTGTTTCCTCATCAGTGAAACAGGGCTTATAGTTCTCACTGTGCCTTCTCCCAGGATTAGCATCCCAATTGAATGAGGTAATGAGATAAGGCCTCATGGGCACTTTTACTGCATTAGAATTAGGGTCCCAGGCTGCTCCTCAGCCTTGGCCAGTCATCTTGTCAAACTTTCTTCTGGCCTTCAGGAATGCAGATGGGAGCACACGATGGCTCTGTGCCGTCCAGCCCCGTTTGTAGGAACAGTGACTCAGGTGGTGCTGGCAGTGGCTCACAGGGGCATTTTATTTGTGTTCTGGCAAGGGGAGGAGGGGGAAGGGGGGTAGATCTGCTGTGGGCTGGGGCTCCCCTAGGGCCAGGGCACAGAAAGTAGAATGTGTTATCATCCTCTGCTTGGGTCTCTTCCCTCCTGGCCCACACTGAGATGCTGTGTTTCAGGTCTCAGTCACTGCGCGGGAAGACGTGCCCTCCTTCGGCCCACCTCTGCCCAGCCCCCCTGTTTTCCAGAAGGTAAGAAACTCTCCTTTCTGCTCCTCTCATGTCTAAGACTCCAGGGGCCGTGGAGTGGGTCTGGAGTGGCCGTGGTTGGGGTGGGGTCGAATTGGGCTTGGAACATCAGGAGGACCTTTTGCAGAGTTTGGGGGAATCTCCTTATGTAGGGTCTCTCTCCACCTCTCCTCCTGCTACCTGCCCAGCCTCGCACCAGGCTTCTTGTAAGGGTGTTTGACACTGGGTTGCCTTTCTGCTAAAAGATGGGTGTTTATACCATGCACCAGTCCCAGGAACCTTGGACAAAAATGGCTCCCAGTCCTGGAAATGCCACTGTGGGTGTGGTGCGTGGACTTCCCAGGACCAGGGAAGCTGGTTTCCACATTGGTGGCTTAGCAGGTGGGCTTGGCCTGGGCTAGAAATGTTCACGTGTCAGGGGACCTTTCGGGGGCTCTCCTCAGACCCCGCTCTGCCTACCCATTACTGGGGCTGAAGCCCCTTTGGCAACAGCTGAGGCTGGGAGAGTCCTGGGCGTCTTATCTGTTGCAGGGCCCGGAGTTCAGGGAGTTTCTGCTCACCAAACTCACCAACGCAGAGAACGCTTGCTGCAAGTCGGACAAGTTTGCGAAGCTGGAGGTGAGAGCGTGGCTTCTGGAGGCTTTCCTCCTGCCTCTCTCTGGGGTCTTCACTCCTGTGTATAAGGGTGGAGGGGAGTGTAATTGTACAATGGCTCTTGGGCCTTTGCTTGGGCTCTTTGCTGACATGGGGACCCCTGGGAGATGAGTTCTGTCAAGACCTGCTGCTCTGGAGGTGCCTGCAAAGGCTGGGTTGCTGACAGGGCTAGTCCTGGTCTGTGTGAATGGCACCACCTGGAGGCAGTGTGCATGGGCCTGGACCAACATCTGGATGGAGAGGAGCAGTGGGCAGTTGGGTACATGGGTGTGGAGATGGGGGCAGAGATCTGGGCTGGGAGTCTGTAGTATAGAGCTGTGGGATAGTCCATGGAAAGGGGCAGAGGAAAGAGCAGAGGGCTGGGCACGGAGCTGTAGTGTTAACTTCAGCCTTTGTGAGCCTAGAGCCTAGCCTGGCCTTGGGTCCACACTGTTGCTGAGATGCAGTTGGCAAGAATAGCAGCCCTCAGGCCAGGTGTCTGGAGCCCCCAGGGAGAGGGCATGTTTCTGCCCTCAGTGCCAGCTCCACAACCCTCACCCTCTTCTCTTCCAGGACCGGACGAGGGCTGCCCTCCTAGACAACCTTCATGATGAGCTCCATGCCCACACACAGGCCATGCTGGGACTGGGCCCAGAAGAGGACAAGTTTGAGAATGGGGGCCATGGGGGATTCCTGGAATCTTTTAAGGTACAGGCACAAGAGTGGCTGGGGATCGCTATGGCAGGGAGGGGGCGGGACAAACAGGGGAAGAGGTCCAAGGTCCACATGATCCTGGCCCCAGAGCCCAAGTGCCAGCCAGAGGTGGAGGACCAGCAGGGGCATCACAGGTGTTTGCAGAGGGTGGGGCATCGGGAAATGTGAGTGGTTGGAGCAGCCAACAGTGTCTGTGGTGTCCTCCACATTCTTGATCTGGATCATCTCTTCCTGACCTGGGAGTCTGATAAGCAGGGACAGGGAGAGAGTTAGCAGCAGGAGAGGGGCCAGTACAAACCAAGGACATTATTGGTTCTGTCTGCCTCCTCCTGTGGTCAAGGAGCCCAGGGCAGGATGGCAGGAGCAAGGACACAAGCCTTCGGGGTCTTCAGCTGCCAGTGTGGGGTACTGCAAGGATTCTTCCCAGCTAGCAGAGCATTGGAGGACCTGGCCAGGGCTGGTGGGATGGAGTTACAGGCAAGTCCCTGTGGACTTTGCAAAGGGAAGAACTTTCTAACCAGAATGAGCTGCTAAAAGAAGGCCCTGGAAATATTCAGGTGGAGCTTGGACGGCCACTTACCTGATGTGGGGTGAAGAAGGTTCATCATCGTGTGCTTGCTGAGTGCTTGTTGGTCCACATGGCACTTACATCTAGCGTCTGATTGAGCCTGTGTGGTTGGCAGAAAGAGTCTTGTGATTTCCACTCACACATGAGGGCACAGGCTAAGGGAGGCCGCAGGACTGCTCGAAACCTTACACCTGCTTAGAGGTAGAGCCTTGTTTCAAACCCAGGTTTTCTGGTTCCTAAGTCAATGTTCTGCTGGATTGCCCCTTGCAGAATGATTTGTAAAGCTGCTATTTTGGGGGCATTGTGTGGGGTTAGGGTTAGATCTGCCTATATTAGAATCCCAGCTGTGTGTAATCCTGGACACCGTCTTTACAGTCTCTGAGCTATACTCTTCTCATCAACAACACGCAGGATGATAAATAGGACCTCTGTTATGATGCCGTTGTGGTGAGAATTCATTGAAATAATGTCTGGAAAAGTTCACATGGCCTGGAATACAGTAAATGCGCAGTAAAAGTGTTAGCTGTTATTGTTGTGTAAAGTAAAAGCTTAACACACATGATCCCATCTGAAACCTCACACCTGCCCTCTGTGCCCCGTGAGGAAGGCTATTATTATGGGTATAATGATTTTGGTATAATAATTCATACCCAATTTTAATAATTATGGGTGTAATTTTACATGTGAGGAAACCAAGACTCAAAGAGACACAGTAATTTGTCCCAAGTCACCCAGCAGACGCGGGAGCTGGATCCAGGTCTGCCGGATTCTAAAGCCTGTGTTCTTAACAGCTATGTGACACCGCCTCCTGGTTCCCGATCAGTTAAGATTCCACCCACACTAGCCCGGCCTGGGCAAGCCTGGGGTCCATCCCTCGCTGCCAGCTGGACCGCAGAGAGCAGGGCAGGGTTCTGCTGGCCCTAGTTGGGGCCAGCTGCCCAGATTCCTCACGAGGGTGGGGGTCGGAGCCCAGCTGCTTGTTCAGGCTGGTGAGAGATTCCTGGGGCATCTGGCTCAGTCCTAATGGGCAGTGGCAGCCAGGGTGAAATAGCAGAAACTCTTAAGAGGGAGATCAAGAGGAAAGCAGGACGAGTGAGAAGAGGAACAGGGGAGGAAAGGGGGAGCCAGGTTGGCCAGCCAGGCCGAGAGAGGGGTGAAGGTGAGACTCTGTGAATAGGGACCTTTGTAGGCTCTGGCCCACATCGTATCAAGCACATCAAATGACTCACATCCCACAGTAAATGTAGTTTATATATGACTTGTTTGCGGTTGCCTAGTTAACATGATGTTATATTTTGCAGACATTTAATGCAATATTTGTTGCTTTCAGTTTTGCAGGTTTCCTTCTGTAGTTTGGACTTAATTGTTTTTTTAGGTTTCAAATATCTTTATCACCTGGAAAAGCTTGTAGGCCGTGGACACTCTGCTCATGGTGCCCAATGGATAAATGGCCCAGCAGCTACGTGCACGTTGCAGGTCTAAGGGAGAGCAGCCTGAGGCCGCTGGTCCAGTCCCCCGCCTCTGGCAGGAGTAACAGCTGATCTCTCTTTGACTCTAGTGGTCTGACTAAAGGGGTTTCCAAGAGAGGAGATGCTTCGAGACTTTATCATTACTTGTCTTTGATCCAGTAATTGAGGGAATTCTTCTTTTCAACCCTAAGTCCTTCCAGTTGAAAGCCTGAAAGGCTGGAAACAGACCTGCTTCTGCATTCTGCTTCCTGGCCTGTCTCTAGGGTAGTACTTTGGGGTGAGGAGGGGACTGTCACGGTCAGTAAGCCTTCAGAGCTTTTTTTCTCCTCCCGGCCGAGGAACTCGAGCTCTTTTGCCCTGAACCTTCGTTCATTGCCCTCACGTCTCCCGAGCAGTGGGGGCCGCAGCTGGGAGCAGGCCAGGCTCAGCAGCACGGAGCCCCATGGCCTGGGGGATTCTGATGTTTGGGCCCTGCCTGTGGCCAGGCCTGCAGTCTTACCCAGCTCAGGAAACCGTCTCTCGTTTTGGTGTTTCTTCATGGGCCCCTTGGGTAGTGCTGTGGTGTCAGAATTATTGGCATCCCTCATGCATTTCCTCACCCAGACCTGCATGGAATCCCTCTTGAAAGAAGTAGTGCAGGAAATGGTGCCAGGACGAGATGTTGCGTGTTTTATCTCCTTCCTGTCAAAGTTCTCATCTCACAGGTGCGTGGAAGCGTAACTGAGAATTTCCAGGGCTAAAAGCCATCTCAACCAGCCATCCCCTGCCTCTTGTGACTGTCCCTTCCTCCCAAAGGGACCCTTTGTCCCTCTTCTAAGAAGCAGACCCATCACTGCCCTAGACTGTGCTGCCTGGCGCCTCCCACCGCTTAAAATAGCCCTCCTTCACATCTTGCTGCAGTTCTACTGGCTGTGTTTTAAGCTTTTCTTCCTTGAGACACAGAACAATTGGTTTATGGACATCTAGATCTGCTTCTCAAACCGAGAGGCTTGGAGATAGTCTCAGGAATCTGCCAGTTCTACAAATACTGTTAAATTTTGCATTTTCACTTAGCTGATAACATAAAAAAATATATTTCCAATTATAAAGGCTAAACTTTTGCAGTGAATCTCATGATTAAAACACATTTCTATGGAATAAGTAGGTATATTGCAAATGCAGTCCATCTGATTGCTGGTGTTGTGGGGGTCTGTGGACATATTTTTGGAGTCTTGCGAGAATATTTTTCTTTATAAAGGAGCTGTATATACTCACCTTTTAAAAGCATTGATCTCTAGACTGTTGTTCTGAAATGCTATTCTTAGCCACTGCCAACTGTCGATGAAGTTTTTATTGGTCCGTAATGAAATGAAAAGAAAAAGTGACGATACTTGATGTGTCTACATGATATGTACATAAAGCTTGTGTGAGCTGCATTTTGAGAAGCACTGAGCCAGCCCAACCCTCCGTTGACTTCATCATGCAGGAGGGAGTGGAGGGCCAGGGAGGAGAAGGCCCCCCAGAGGCACCAGAACTGGGACCACAGCAAGCAGGGAGTTGCCAGGTGAATTCTCCCAGCCTTTAAGTGACTGTGGTAGTTAATGCACTGGTCTGATGTGACCCCTAGTGGCAGGAGAGGAGCACCAGGCTGCACATATCCCCAGCAAAGCACCGGCAGGCTGGGGCAGCTCGTAGATGAGAGCTCTGGTCCATTGGAGTGGAGATACATTTCCTTCTCCCATCAGCCTCCGTCCTTTATTTGTGCCACTAGAGGGACAGAAGACCCCATTCTGGACCTCAGAGTATTTCTTGATTAGGAACCATCTCAGCAGACAAACAGTTAGCATCTTTCTCTCCAAGGATGCCTGCCTCTGTTGCTTGCCTGGATAGGCACATCCCCGTTAGTGGTCATCCCTGTGCATTGTGTCCCTTAAGTTGAGTTTGTTAAGTTGAAAAAACTCACAAAACCCATCTGTAGGGAAGCGAGGTTTGTGGTTGGCCTGGAAGAGACGCGCTCCCTTCATGACACTAACGGGTGTTCAAACCCCTGGCTGAAATGAAGTGACGTAAGCAGATAATGCTAAAGTGACGCCATCTCTCTTGTCTCACTTGCCCAAAGGAGAACTTGGTCAAAGGTAAGCTGTGAGGTGTGCTGAGGGCTGGGAAACCATGGTGACTGAGGATGGGTGTTGGGACCAGAGATAATTAGCTGGGAGGAGAGCAGACTCTGAGGACAGCTAGGGACAGTTGTGTGAAATATGGAATACACTGGTCTAAGACCCCAAGGTCTGTAAATGGTAGGATTTCAGCTTGGAGCACAGAAGACCTTTCCAAAGGTCAGGCTGTCCACCACTGCAACAGGCAGCCTTGAAAGTGAGCAGCCCATGCCTAGGAAGATGTAAGCAGACGAGAGATGAACTGTGGTCCAGATGTACAAGGGGCTGAGTGGGAGAGGGTCCAGATGGTCCCTGGAGACTTCCTGATGCAAAGCCTTCATGTGCCTGTCCTTTTCTCTCCTGCCTTTGTCTTTTCACATCTCTGTCCTCCTTTCTCTTCTTCATCTTTTACCTGACTCTTCTGCCCAGTTTGAGAAGGCTAGTGCTTTCAGCTCTACATCAGATTGAAATGTGAAATACTTTAGACTGTGTCACTGGGTGATTTTGTCCGAATATAACTTTAAGTTTTCGAGTTAGCCGTCATCTCTCTCTCCATCCATCCCTAAGAGTGGGGGAGGAGGGGCCGGCCTGATGGCACAGCGGTTAAGTGCAGGCACTCAGCTTTGGCAGCCCGGGGTTCGCAGGTTCGAGTCCCGCATGCACACCATGCACTGCTTGTCAAGCCATGCTGTGGCAGGCATCCCACATATAAAGTAGAGGAAGATGGGCACGGATGTTAGCCCAGGGCCAATCTTCCTTAGCAAAAAGAGGAGGATTGGCATCGGTTGTTAGCTCAGGGCTGGTCTTCCTCAGAAAAAAAATAAACAAAACAAGAACGGGGAGTAGAGCTGACCCTGAGTTGAGTGGGTATCACACCAGATGTTTGGCGTACACTGCTCATGTCATCCTCACGCAGGGACCATCACCATGTTGTATAGATGAGGAGACGGTCTCAGAGAGGTTCATACATTCTGCCGGGAAGAACAGGATTCAAACTCCTCCCTGTTTGCTTCGACAGCAGGTGGCCACCCTGCACATCCCTGGAATTTCCTGTCAGCCCATTTTCTCCTCAAACTTATCTCACTGACTCAGACAGCAGCACCAAGGGCATTTGAGGAGGAGATGTCCTTTCTGCCATCAGCCGTGGAGATTTTTTCTTGAGGGGAGGCTGAGGGCCCCTAATCACCCTTAGTCCATCAACCAGCTGAGTTATATGTCCAATCTGGACCACTTTTTTGGATACTGGGACCTTTTCATCTGGAGCCCAGGGTCCTGGCAATGTCATGTCTTCAGTGTGACCTCGGGCAATCATTTACCTTTCGGGGACCTTTTCTATCAAATGTCTGTCCTCTGTGCATTTCAGAGTTGTAGGGATTCAATAAAATCATGTGTGTGAAGCTCAGCAGATGCCATCACACAGGGCTTATTATCCACATCAAATCGTTTTTGGAAAGAGACAGTGAAGAGTGCATCAGAACATAGATGATTAATTGACATGTCATTGTTGATGACGATAGTGGTGGTGGTGGCACACGCAGGGCACCAACGGAATGTAATGATGCTGAGATTTATGGAGCACTTGACTCACTTAGGGAACCTCAGTGTGGTGCCACACCTTTCCTGCCCTCAGTTTTCCAAAGGGTATGTGATTTAATGATCTTCGGGTGATGGACTGAATAGAATGTGCCGGCTGTTTTAACCATGTTGCAAGAAACTGTTGCTAGGCGACTATTCTGTGGTCTAGAAAGGGAGAGAGAGATGATGTCCCTCAAGGGGCATCTTGGAGAGGCTAGATTACGTCAGGTACGAGGCTGGTGGGCTGTGTGCCTCATTCGCAAGAGTAGCTTGTCTCTAGGGCAGTCATATTTACAAATGGTCCTCCTTCCTGAGTCAGCTTCCCTTGTCAGGATAGAAAGGCAGGCCATGTGGTCCTTCGCCATTCCAAGCTTGGAGAATCCTGACCTTGGGGAGAGGTTCCAGGGAGATCTGCTGTTTGGTTAGGAGCAGTGTTCATGCTGATTTCTTGGGACCACCTTGCCATAGACTGAGCTCTTCCCTCGATGCTTGAAGGGAGGGAAGGGGGTTCATGCTTCCACATGAGAACATCTGTAGGATGGCACATGGGGCACGTAAGCCCACACGTTTGTATGTGTGTGGGTATGAACCCAGTGAAGAAGGAAGCTAGTGTCCACATGTTCGTTCTTCTGCGTCAGTTTTCTGAAGGTTCTGAGAACCTCAACCGGCTCACACAATAAGGAAAGTCCATTAGCTCACTTAATAAGAAGGCTGAAGTGACTCATGGCTCAGCATGGTCATTGGCATCCAGCTTCTTTCCCTTTCCCTTCTGCCATCCCCAGCTTGTCAGCTTCGTCCCACAGGCTTGATCCCTTGTGGCCCCAAGGTGGCTGGTGTGGTTTCAGGGGCAGACATGTCACATCTCTTTTGGGAATCACTGGGGAAGCCTTTCCCCGAAGCCCCCAGCAGTTGTCCCCTCATGTTCCACTGGCAATGGATGGGTTATGTAACCGCCTTAGACTGATCCTGATTTACTCCTTCGTTCCATGGAGGAAGAGGGGCCGATGGACCAGACAGTGGCTCTGCCAGCAAGGAATGTGGCGGGGATGGCACTTTTATGTGAGCAACTAACAACTCCATTCATGAGTCTTTGCGTGTAGCTCTTAGGCCCTGGGGGCCCTGGACAGCTAATTAACGCAAAGGGAGCACCCCACGGGCCCTGGGTCTTTCAGTATGCCCCAATTTTAGGAATGCGTCTTGTTTCCCCAGATGAGTTGTACACTCCTTGGAGGCAGGGGCCAGGTCTTGCACTTCTTTGACTGCTCTCCTACAGTTCTCCCAGTTCCTGGCACAGTGCCGGGCACATGGGAAGCATGCAGTGAATGCTTATAGAGTAGCTATGTCTATTGGGTACTTATGGTGTGCCGGGCTTTCTGCTGAGAGCCTTGTATGTATTCTCCCAACAACCCCGTAGTATAGATATCCTCCATCCCATTTCACAGGTAAGTCTCAGAGAAGCTAAGTAACCTGACCAGGGGCACCCAGCTAATGGGCGGTGGAATAGAGAGCCCAGATATAAATCCTGGCAGTCGGACCCTGACACTTGCGTGCTTTTAACCACTAAGTTGTGTTGCCACCTGGCTGTATTATTGAGTGACTGAAGGAATAATCAAAGGGGAGTGTGGTGAGGTTTTGGGGCTTACTGGAGAGAAACTTCCCTTCCTAGAATGCTCATGTCATCTTTGAAGGCCTCCAGAACCAGAGAGCATCATCCATGTGGTATCTTCTAGGACTTCCCTTGTCAGGAAATCCTCCCTGGATTGAGCTGAGATCTGCCTCACTATAACCACTCCTCTGGGTCTGGTTCCAGATTAGGCCTGCAGAGCAGTCTGAGGGAGTGCTCTTCACCGCCCAGGTCCATCTCTGCCATGGGCTTGGCAATCTTGATTTTAGCTGTTCTTCTCATCCATGCATGCACTGTGACAAGCCTCTGACCATCCCAATTGCTCCCTCCTGGAGTCTTCACTGTTTGCTGATATGCCCTTTGCTCTTTGGTGGTGCTAAGTGGGCACAGGGCTCTGGGTGGCCTGAGCAGCCCTGTGCCCCCTGAGGCCTTGTGTCTCACCCAGTCTGAGCGTGCATCTCTCTTTCACTGGCTGTGTCAGGCTGCGGGCTTGTACTGACGATGTCTTAAGCCCCTGCAAGTGAGCGTTGGCTCAATGCACGGACTCATAAGAGCTCCCAGAGATGAATGTATTCCAGGTTGGGATCCACTTTGGGATGACAGCCGAAGGGATATCCAGTGTTTAAATATAGAAGGATGCTTAGTTTTCTGGGAAAAAAGAGTCAAATTGGGGTCAGGCACATGGCTGTGTTTAATTCCCACCACGATCCTGTGTGGAACATATCATTCCTAGTTTACAGATGAGGAAGCTGTAGCTTAGAGAGGTTGCTAACCAGACCAGGGTCCCATGGGTTCGATGAGCTGTCCAAGCCTTGGTTTGCTTACCTGTAAGATGGGGATAACAACCTTTGTCCACTACCGGGGAGCTGGAGCACTGACCCCTCAGACTCTCCCTGGCTGGTGCCCTCCTTCGCCTCTGCCTACTGAGTCACTCACACCCAGAGCACGGGACAGAATATGTGAAAATTTTCTGAAAACCATAGTGATTATAGTGTGAGCCACTGAGAGAGAGCGAGTGTTCGAGTGTGTGTGCACACACTAAGAGCTGGGTCTGCAGACCCCTACCAAGAGGGCAGGGTCATCTGGTGGGGGCCAGGCTCCAGCTCTCAGGTCCTGTCCCCTGCTCTCCCCACAGCGGGCCATCCGTGTGCGCAGCCACTCCATGGAGACCATGGTGAGCAGCCAGAAGAAGCAGCACAGTGGGGGCATCCCCGGCAGCCTCAGCGGGGGCATCTCCCACAACAGCATGGACGTCACCAAGACCACCTTCTCAGTGAGTGCCACAGGCCCTGGGGCAGCACAGGGGTCCCTGGGAGGGTCCTCCGGGCCTGTGGAGGAGGGGTGCATTCACCCAGGCTTGGGCCATGAGACGAGAGCAAGGATGACAGGGAAACTGAGGCTGTTTGGGGCAACCCCAGGTCCTGCTGTTTCAAATGGAGCCTCCATCCCAGATAGCACCTGGCTTGGCCAGGCTAGAAGCCCTCCTGTTGTCCTGTTCTCTGAGTTTCCTGGACAACTGGGCCTTCTCCTCAGGGCCAACCCTGCAAAATGGTCCTGGGGCACGTTTCTCTGCCCAGGGGCTTGGGACCCATGACGGGTGTCCTTGCTTTGTTATCATTAATGATAACAGTAACTGCCCAGCTTGCTCTGCACCAGGCACCGAGCTCGGTAACTCATGGACATGATCTCATCTGAGCCCCGTAGCAGCTGTCTGAGGTAGGTCCTGATGTGTTCTCCGTTTCACATTTGAGGAAAAGGTGGCCCAGAGGGGTTAAGTAACTTGCTACAGATCACATAGTTAAGCTGAAGAGCTGGGATTTGAATGGCGGTCTCCCTGAGCCAAAGTCTTCTTTTCTAATCACTGTATATACAGTTTCCAAGGAAGGAGAGCCTGGAAGGTTTGTGGGTTTGGGTCTGGTCTGCGTGCACCAGGGGCTGGCCGGGGGAAGGAACCACCACGTGGTCTGTCCTTTTAAAAAGCAAAGTGACTTTGGATTTGTATAGACTAGGGTTTTCTTTTCTTTTTTAATAGCATAACAGACTCACCATAATAGTAACGATTAGTATTATAAATGGTCTCGCATGATTCATGTAATTTACCATGTAATTTACCAGGTATTTTCCTAGCTATTATCTTGTCCTCCCAGAAGGTCTGTGAAATGAGCAGGGCAGGGCAATTATCTCCATTCTGTGGATCAGGAGACTGAGGCCCAGAGAGTCTTGCCTCTCACCCAAGGTTGCACAGCATGTAAATGGCAGAAGTTGGGGCCTGACAGGCTCTAAAGATTGGCTCCAGGCCCGCGCCTCCCCGTTCTCAATCTCCCACCCTTCTGTCGTCCCCCCACATGTGGCCGAAGCAGAGCCACATTCTTGGCGGGTCCCTCTGCCTTTGGGGGCGTGTGGACCTGGCTCTGCTGCTCTCATTCTGTCTTGTTGCTGTGACACCCAGCTTGGACCCTTTTGTTTGTGAGCAGTGGGTGGCGAGTCAGGGGCCCTGGGTTCTCGTGCTCATCCTGCTGGTGATTCGCTGTATACCCTTGGCCACATCTCCTTGCCTTCCTCATTGGTAAAGTGAGAGGTTGGTGCAGGTTGTTCCCAGGGCTCTTGCAGCTTTGTAGTTCTCACTCGGTGACCGTCTGAATCATCCTGTCCAACTCATGTGCGAGGCTCTCCTTAGGGTGGCCCTGGCCCCTTGTTAGTCCAGTTCTGGTCTTTGGTGGATTGTGCCTGGGGCCACAGGGCCGGCTTAAGAACGCAGGAAAACAGACTGCAAGTGGCTTGAGCCTCAGGGTCTCGGCTCCTGTTACACAGATCCCAACCTTCCTAGCTGTCTTACTATTTTCTGAAATCTCCTCCAGCCTAGTTAGGGGGTTGCAAGAGCTATTTGTAGACCAGAAAGGGGAATGAGGGGAAGGAGATCTGGGCTTGGGCTGTGAGCGCTCATTTTGGTGCTTTCACTGGCAGCCTCCAGTGGCAGTGGCAACGGCGAAGAACCAGTCGAGGAGCCCCATCAAGCGGCGGTCAGGGCTCTTCCCTCGTCTGCACACGGGCTCTGAAGGCCAAGGGGACAGCCGGACACGAAGGTAACTGCCAGGGGCCCCCCACTCCAGTCCGACTCTGGGGTCTGTCAGCTCTCTCCACAGCTGTCAGATGTCTAACCTTGGGGAGGGCTTTGGGCAGCTTTGGGAGATGGCTTCCGTCTAACTGTGGTCCCCACTTCAGGCACCTGCACATCCTCTGTCACTCATGCAGCTCTTTATCCACCAAGGCAGAGTTAACTAGTCTCTGCACAGGACTTTCCAAAGTTATTCTTGTCACGTTTTGGCCCAAACGAGAAACGTTGCTTGGATTCTTTTCTTTCTTTGCCTCCTTTTTCAGTGCTCACTCAAATGTCCGCTCTTATGGATACCTCCTCTGATTCTGCCAGGCATAGTTAATTGAAACTTCCTTTGGGCTTCTAGAATGTTCTATTCTTTTTTTTTTTTTTTAAACTCATATTGCTTCATACTTAACCTGTTCTTGCTAATTGTCTTTCTGATCCTTTAATTGGTGAACTCATTATTATTTAATTCAGTGAGCAGCGTTTCTTGAGTGCCTGCTATGTGCTGGACTCAGTGCTCAGATAACAGCTATAGAGGAAACAGCCTGCCCTCCAGAAGACTACAGCCTTGTCAGGGAAAGGGAGGCATTTAGGTTGACTTCCAGGTTTCCAAGTTGTCTGCCAGGAGCCCTAGATGGTGGTACTAGCCCCTGAGCTTGGTCATGCAGGAAGAGGGGCAGGTTTGTGGAGGAAGATGAAAAGCTCTGTTTGGAGCCTGTGCATGTGAGTGAGTCCTTGTGGGCCACCCAGCAGAGAAGTGCAGGGAGTGGTCATAATTGCGGGTTATGAGCTCAGGAGAGAGACCTTGACTGGAGAAGGAGAGTTAAGAGTCACTGGGGTAGAGGTGATGTTTAAAGACAGATCAATGGATGTGATCACCTGGAGCGTGGTGTTGAATGCCTCAGGAACACCAGCATTTAAGGGGAAGTGGAGAAAGGAAAGCCAGTGAAGAAGATGGGAGGAACGGTGAGAGAGGAGGAGGAAAGCCCGGAGAGGCCGCAATCTCAGAGGCCAGGAGAGAAGTTCCAGGAGGGAGGGTCAGCAGTGTCAGGCGTGCAGAGAAGTCCAGCACAGTGACTCAAACCCCTGCTTGGACTGACCATTAGGAGTCATTAGCGACCTCATTAAAAGTGTGTTGAGGCACTTCACACCTCTAGGATGGCTCGAATCAAAAACACAAATATTGGGGCTGGCCCCGTGGCTTAGCGGTTAAGTGCGCACGCTCCGCTACTGGCGGCCCGGCTTCGGATACCGGGCACGCACTAATGCACCGCTTGTCCGGCCATGCTGAGGCACCGTCTCACATACAGCAACTAGCAGGATGTGCAACTATGACATACAGCTATCTACCGGGGCTTTGGGGAGAAAAAGGAGGAGGGTTGGCAATAGACGTTAGCTCAGGGCTGGTCTTCCTCAGCAAAAAGAGGAGGATTGGCATGGATGTTAGCTCAGGGCTGATCTTCCTCACAAAAAAAAAAACAAAAAAACAACAACACGAATATTAACAAGTGTTGGCAAGGATGTGGAGAAACTCATTCATTGCTGATGGGAATGTAAACTAGTGCAACTGCTGTGGGAAACAGTCTGGCAGCTCCTCAGAGGGTTAAACATAGAGTTATCATATGACCCAGTAGTTCCACTCCTAGGTATAGACCCGAGAGAAAGTATACACATGTCTACATAAAAACTAGCACATAGATGTTCGTAGCAACATTATTCATAATAGCCCAAAGTGGAAATAATACAAATGTCCATCACTCAGTGAATGGATAAATAAAATGTGGTAAATCCATAAAATGGTATGTTATTTTGCAATAAAAAAGAGTAAAGTACTGATCCATGCTACAACATAGATGAGCTTTGAAAACATTATGCTAAGTGAAGGAAGCCACTCACAAAAAGACCACACCATATTGTATGCCTCCATTTACGTGAGATGTCCAGAATAGGCAAATTCATAGAGACAGAAGGTAGATTAGTGGTGGCCAGGGGCCAGGGGGAGGGAAGGATGGGGGCATCTCTGTTGCCTGCCCTCCATAGTCTCTGAGAGGGGCTCAGGTGGGAATGGAGGTCCTGGTGGCTGTGCTCTGGCAGGAGGTTCTGACCCCACAGGCCCCCATGGTGGTGAGAGCCGGTTGGGGCTCTGTCTCAGGCCTGAGGTGGGGTAGGGGTTGGGGGCTGGCTCCGTGGCCTCACTGCTCTTCTTCCTCGTTTCCTCAGTGACAGTGCATCCAGCAACCCCAAGACCCCAGATGGCGCACACTCTTCTCAGGAGATAAAGTCTGAGACCTCATCCAATCCCAGCTCTCCGGAAATCTGCCCCAACAAGGAGAAGTAAGAGTGAGGGTGGTGGAGGCTGGCTTTAGCCACTTGGAGCCCTGGAACATGTTCTCTGCTCCAGGCAAGCTGAGAGGAAGCATCTCTCACCTTGAGAACTCTCCGGAACACAAAAGCCAACAGGCAGGGGCGTGGGGAGCCGCTGGTGGGCAAGCTCAGATCTCTGCTAGGCCTGCCCTCAGTCCCAGGGAGGGCCTGGGGGCTCAGTGTATGACCAGGGCCTGCCTTGCCTCCTGTTTCCTGCAGGCCCTTCATCAAGTTGAAGGAGAATGGCCGAGCCAACATCTCCCGCTCCTCCTCCAGCACCAGCAGCTTCAGCAGCACGGCGGGGGAGGGCGAGGCCATGGAAGAGTGTGACAGCGGGGTAGGTGTGGCCCTGGCCAACCTTGGGGAGCAGGGAGGGGTTCCCTAGAGCCCAGCCAGACACCTGATCTGTGCATTAAAATAGCTACTGTGGGCTGAGCCCCACTCCAGGCTCTGAGGAAAAAAGGGGAAGTGTGGAAACAGGAGGTGGCTCAGTCAGCCATCTCTGCCCTCTGGGAGCAGTGATTCAGGGAGGTCTCCCTCTGAGTGACATGGGAGCAGCAGCAGAGGGTCAGCGGCCAGACTAAGTGGTGTTCCTGCCATGGGGTTCCTGGCTGGAGAGGAGAGGGGTCATCAGCACTTTCTGGGGGCCGGGAGCGGGGGAGGTTGGAGGCAGCAGAAGGAAAGAGCAGGTCCAAGTGGGGAGTGGGGGGCAGTGGCTGCCCTGGGCTTGTTGGGGGCCTGTCTTAGGCCTACTGAGGCGTGGGCCACCCTGTGGGGCTGCTGTGGGTGGGGCTGGCCTCACTCACCCGGCCTCTCTCCCCAGAGCAGCCAGCCGTCCACAACCTCGCCCTTCAAGCAGGAGGCGTTTGTCTACAGCCAGTCCCCAAGCAGCGAGAGCCCCAGCCTGGGGGCAGCCGCCACCCCCATCATCATGAGCCGGAGTCCTACGGGTCAGTGGTGTCTGGTGGTGTGTGTGATGTGGCCTGGGGTGAGGCTGTGCCGTGACCACTGTTCGTGGGGCGTGCGCCCCAGGCACGCTGAACGGGACAGTTTCCGTTCCCACCCCAAAGTGTTAGGGCCTTCAGCTCTGCTAGCTCACTGCATTTGTTCATCAACCCTATCCTCTCCTTACTGTTGGGGAAACTGAGGCTCAGAGAGTTCAGTGATTTGCTGGAGGAGTTGGGATTGTGTGATTTGAAAGCTAGGGCTGTTTCCCCTGACCTCTTGCCCGACCCCATCACCGACCCAGGGCTCCTCTGTCAGAGCAATGGTCCTGATAATGCAAGAATAGGAGGTGGGAAGAGTGTTGCTGGCGGAGGGAACAGCATATGGAAAGGCTTGGACGGAATCGAGAGATTGTGATCTGGAACCGCACGTGGTCCAGTGCAGCTGGAGGGGATGGGTGAGAGAGGAGACAGCGATTAAAGCAACAGGCTGAGGCCGCCATGGGACCCTGGTGAGGATTTTGGTGTTATCCTGCCGGCAGTGGAAGCCATTGGAGGGTCTTGAAGTTTCTTAAGTAGAGAAGCGCCATCTGGAGTGGAGAAAGATTGCTTTGGAGGCTGCAGCTGGCTGAGTAGAAAGGATTGGTGGGGAGCAGATGTGGAAAGGGAGATCGGTGAGGGGTCACAATGGGCAGTGAGGGGTGATGGGGCCATGCATCTGGGAGGCATCTGGGGCAATGGGAGAAGGATGGGAATGCAAGGAGAAAAAATCTTCTGGGCTCAGTAGTGGGGGTTCAGGGAGAGCAAGGAGTCTGGGCCTTTTGGGGTTCTGTGATCCCTGCAGTTGGGCAGAGTAGGAGAAGTCAGCTCTGGGGAGAAGGTGGAGGGTTGGAGCCTGAGGGACTTCCCCATTTGTGGATGTGTGCGGTAGGCACTGCTGGGTGCTGCGGGTGCCCAGGTGTCAGAGCCTTGTCCCGTCCTCGAGGAGGGCAGCACCATGTGGGGACAGGACTCTGGAGCCTGGGTCCAATTCCTGGATCTTCCACTTACTAGCGAGGTGACATTGGGCAAGTTACTGAGTCTTTCTGTGCCTCAGTTTCCCCAGGCAAAAAATGGAGAGAGGAGAATAGTTTCTACCTCATGTGGTTGGTTGTGTGAAGAGTAAATGAAGTTACTGTTCTAGGAGACTTAGAACTGTTAACCTAAGTGTTTGTTACATAATAGGAATAAAACAATAGTGTAATCAGTGGTTCTCAGCTAGGGGTGATCTTGCTCCTTAGGGCACGTTTGGCAATGTCTGGAGACACTTTGATTTTCATGATTGTGGATGGGTGGTGCTACTGGCCTCTGGTGGGCAGAGGTCAGGGATGCTGGGAAACAGCCTACTGTGTACAAGGCAGCAAAGAATTGTCCGGCCCCAAATGTTGATAGGCCGAGGCTGAGAAACTCTTGTCTAGATGATGGAGACACAGAAAGGACCAGTTCACATGCCTCCTGTCACTCCACCCCCTCTGGCTGGGCAGCTGTGGAGCTGGCTTCTGATTCTGGCTGTGGCACTGACAGGCCCACTCTCTGAGCCTCAGTTTCCTCATCTATAAAGTGGGGTAGTTGGGGCCAGCCCGGTGGCGCAAGCGGTTAAATGCGTGCGCTTTGCTGCGGCGGCCCGGGGTTCGCCGGTTCGGATCCTGGGCATGCACCGATGCACCGCTTGTCAAGCCATGCTGTGGCGGCGTCCCATATAAAGTAGAGGAAGATGGGCACAGATGTTAGCCCAGGGCCAGTCTTCCTCAGCAAAAAAAGAGGAGGATTGGTGGACGTTAGCTCAGGGCCAATCTTCCTCACAAAAAAATAAAAAAATAAAGTGGGTAGTAATACAAATCCCCTGATGTTTTAAAAAATAAGGCTTAATTAAATATTGAAGGAATGAGTGGAAGAATCTGTAACCAATCCTGGCTCCTACTTGGTGTTAAATAAATATCAAAATAAATAAGGTTTTGAGTAAAGGAGGTTTAGAGAGTGTCTGTGACTTGCTGAAGGTCACCCAGGGCAGAAGTGGACCAGAAATGGGCCTAGTAACTCCTGCCCAGTGCTTATTGCCCCCCACCCTCAGGTAGTATTTAACCCTGAGGGGCCGCCCCTCACCCTCACCCCCACAGAAGTTGTACTGGGTACCTGCAGGACCAGAGTGGGCTTGTGGAGATCTGGAAAGCTGTTTTAGACTGTTCAGCTGCATCTGGGGAGAGACAGGGCTGAGGGGAGGGAGGTGGCCTGGGAGGGCCTGACATCCAGTCTTCCATAATCTCAGGTGCCCTGACCATTGGTCCTTTCACACCTCGGCTCCCTGGGCCCTGAGAGGGGATTGGCGGGTCACATTGAGAGGTCACATACTCATAGCGCTGAGCAGAACCCCTTGATTTGAAGCAGCAGGAGTAATTCAGCAGCTTTCAGGTGGAGTGTACTCAGCTGTAGATTCTCTCAGCCAGAGGAAAACCAGAAAGCCAAGGGGCACGCCCCACCAGTGGTGTGCTGGTAAAAGTTTAACAACTGGCTCTCCCACCACACACACATACACACACACACCCCCACATATATCTTCACTGTAAATTTTACTGATATAAAGAATCTGAAACGTACAATTTATAAAAAATGGTAAAATATCCAATGTTCTTTACTATAAATTTCATTTAGTCAATTGACTGTCACAAAATACTTTTATTGCTATTTGCCTAACTTTTGCGTCTGTAGATGACTTAAGATGGCAGATGATGTACAAGTGTAGTTCTGACATGAATGAGGATTGATATTATTTTGTCAGTGACGTGAGCAACTTCTTTGCTGAAGCAGAGAGTAGTTTTCAACACTGGGAGAGGATTCAGTCAGTTTTTGTGCTGTTCACAATGCAATGGCTATAGACACAACGCATTTTCAAGTTTAATCTACATTATTAATATTTCTCCATTAATTTCTTAAGTCTAGACAACAAACAATAAATCAAGCTCTGATTTGTAGCGTTTGCTGATTTCTGTGGTGTGAATAATCCTGCCAGGCTGACCTCAATGTGACCTGGAGTTGGGAAGAGCTGCCAGACAGATACAATAGATGGAAATAACCTTAAGAGAATAGATAACAGTAAAATGTAGTGAAATAACTAGGAAGTGATGACTTTTGAGTATTTATTACTTTTGATGAATATAATTTATTTAATTATAAGCCGATATAATTTAATTTTTTTAAATGACTGTTTAACAACCAGCTCACAACATTTCTAAAAAGTTAAGTTGGCTCTTGTGAATCAGTGCATGTCAGCTAGGGTGCCCAGTGGAGAGGAGGAGGCCTCCTCTCCTGGCCTCCCTATCCAGTGTCCCACCCTCAGCCCCAGTGACCGCTACAGTCCCACCCTCTTTTCATGGGCATTCTTCGTTTTCCTAGATGTCAAAAGCAGAAACTCCCCGAGGTCAAACCTGAAATTCCGCTTTGATAAGCTCAGCCATGCCAGCTCCAGTGCGGTAAGGATCTGGGGGTGTAGGGAAGCGGGGGGAGCCTCGCATATTCCAGCCTCCTCCAAAAGCCAGCCTTCCTTCCTGGGGGTGCATCACATCGGGGGAGGGAAAGCTCTGGTCAGATCTTGGGGTGATGCTGTTGGTCCCCACATGATGCAGGCATCAGCCTAGGGGTCACCAGCCACCTCAGCCACGTGCCCTGTGTTAGAGCCACACCCTTGCACACACACAGGTGTGAGCTGTGAACTGTTGGCTCCTGGGGCCTCCTGTCCCTTCCTAAGCTCACTGGAGCGTTGAGAACTGAGTGCACAGAAGCTGCAGTCAGTGGGGATTATGTCGTCTAGTTATTTAAAACTCTTGTATGGATTTTTCTTGAAACAGGGTCACTAATGTGCAAGAGGAGTCCTTCGCCTGTCAAAGGTGGGTCAAGGGTTTGTTCTGCTGTGGCCACGAGGGAAGATGTGTCCCTTGAAGATCAGAGTACTAGTGGCCTGATAACCTGAGAATGGCCAGGGAGATCCTGACAGCTGGGGAGGGCCAGTGGCATCTTCCCTGAAGCCTCTATGATGGGGCCCAGTCTGGATGGGGAAGAGAGTAGATGGCCTTGGGTGCAGATGGGAAGGGTTGCCCGATAGGATTGGGACAGGCTCACTGAGTCAGTCCCCCTCCCGCAGAGGAGCCTGGTTCCTGCAGGCAGAGGGGCAGTAGCCCAGAGCCCACCTTGCGCCCTGGAGTGGGGATTCCTCAGTTTGTCTCCTTTGCCTCCCTGCTCTCGGCAGCCTCTCCCTGCTGTGTCTTTGGCCAGGGCTCGGGGCTGAAGTGTGTGCTCCGTGTGTGTCCAGAGATGCCCCCTAAACATTGTGCAGGACAACCCCAGGAAGGAGCTCTGCTTCCAGCCTCGGCCGAGGGAGTGTGTGGTTTTCCGCAGAGCAGGGCAGGGGTCCAGCTCGCCACCAAGGCCTGAACTACTGCTAGGGAAGTTGCTAGAGACCCATCTGAATTCCCAGCCCTGCTGTGGGCTTGCAGCTGTATGAGTCACAGTTGGAACCAAGAGGAGGGGGACAGCTGAGTCCACTTTACGTAAACCTGATCTATGAAGGTGGGAATGCTGGCACTCACCTCCAGTTCCCATCACGTACTTCAGAGGCCTCCATCTGAAGTTCTCCAACTTCCGGGGCTGTGTGAAGTCTGGCCCCCTTGTATTTGGCCCCCTCCTGTCCTGGGCATATTCAGTGGACTATAGCCATGGGCACCTGTGTTCGCCCTCCCTTCTTTTACCCAATGTTTGGTCTTCACCTCTCTTCTCCTTTTCTCCTCCAGGGAAGCCCCAGTTCTGTCCTGGAGAAGACTCCTGTTCCAGCAGTTTGGGGGGTGCCGTCCACTACTCTGACCATCGCAGGCCTGCTGCCCCACCGGCCTCCTGCCCACTGGACCAGCTGTCTGTCCCAGTGTCCTGACCCAGCCACAGCCCTCCTGCCTGCCCCTTCACCAAGACACCCTGCAAGCACCTCCCCATCTCTGGACAAGGCCTCGTTCCTCTAGGCTCCCCCTACTCCTGCCCACCCAATGTGATGTGTGTCTGGGTTGTCTGTCATCTTGTTTTGTCTGCAGAGGCGGGAGTTGGGCAAAGGGGGATCTGGGTACTGGGGACTCAGTCAGAGACCAGAGAGGCGGAGAGAGTGGCGAAGGAGGGGAGCAGAGGCCGACAGCAGGACTGTGCCCAGGGAGGGGCAGCACTGTGTCCTGCACATGGCAGGCACGGCAGATGCATTTAGTGGTGGTGGACGGAGCACTTTTCCAGGAGCAAAATTTGTAGTCCTCGAAGATGTCCTGATAGAAATCAGCTCTATTGCTCCCACATCTGTGGAGCTCCCCAACATCTGTTTGCTTCTGTACCAGTAACTTCTTACCCTCTGCTGACATCAGGCCCAGGGCTGCCTCTGTCCCTGCTCCCTGTATCTTGAGCGGCCGGTTGAAGCTGAGACACAGCCTGGCGTGTGTGGGAGCGGGCGCTGCACTGTTCCTTGACAGCGGCTGGAACTTTCGTCCCACCTGATTTCACTCAGGCTCCTGATTGCGGTTGCTGTGGGAGAAGCCCTGTGTCAGTCCCTCCCTTTTGAGCAGATGTTTTTCCATGAAGGGTGGGCAGCCAGCAGTGAGAAGGAATTCAGGGAGGGGAGCCCGCGAGTGCTGGGGCTCTGGCTGAGGAAAACCTCAGATCCGAGGACCAGGCTGGGATCAGGTCTCTACTGGGTGTGGAAGTTCGTGGAGGAGTTACGTCCACCCACCACTTAGAGGAGAGCTGCGGTGGCGAGGTGGGGACAACACATCAGGTTTGGTCAGGCTGGTGTGTGGGCGTGGGACTTAGAGCCGTGTCCTTCTGCACTTTATATTCCTGGCATCTGTGGGGGACCCAGTGCTGCCCGAGGGACTCTTTCCAGCTACTTGCCCTTCTGCCGTGTCGGGGTTTGATCCCCCTAATCCTCCTCTTCCCCTCTCCAACTGCGGGTCTGTGGGCAGTTGTCACATCTGTGGGATTCCTGCAACCTGGGCCCTGGCTGGGTGCAGTTCATACACATCCTGCCACCTGCACCCTCAGCCAGATCCCCCTTCGCTGGGTGAGCCAGCTCGCTCTCAGAGGAGCAGCCCCCTCTCGCTTCTCAGCCCTCCGAGTCTGCAGTGCGAGAGGTCGTTTCTGCTGACCAGCTCGGGTGGGGTTTAAGGTGGGGTGTCCTCCAGGTAGAACATAGAGTCTGAAGAGCAGACCCTTGGAGGTGCTGCAGCTTCAGTGCATGTGGGGCCTCTGTGACACAGGGCTGCTGGGGTGACGCTGGCTGGGCTCTTGCTTTAACTAGCAGATGACAAGGATTTCCAACCAGATGCTTAATTTGCATTGGGATCTGGGCCTGTTCCCAAGTCCAGGCCTATAAATGTTACACTTGTTTTTGACCCATGTGACAATTTCCCCATTGCTTTGGCCGTTAGAGCAAAACCATGATCGTCTGTCCCCCTACTCGCATGGACATTATGGGGTCCCGTTTGCGGGCTGGGCAGACCTCTCCCCTCACACTGTTTGGGAAATGTGTTTACTTAAAGTACTAGTCCGGTAAGATTTATTCTAGTTAGAAGGTCACCAAATATCTGTTTAGCTTTTATTAAAAGTCACTGGAGCGGCACCCACTGCTGGAACGAGGCCCGCGGATTCTGGCAGCGCTCTGCTGGCTGAGTTTCTGAAGGAACTTGAAAGGTCAAACTGCATTTCTTTAAAAGCTATTCCAGGGTTCTGGCTCACTTCCCTGGGTAGCTGGTATTTACAGCTGCTGGGTGGTTGTGCTGTGCTGTGTTGTGTTGTGGTCTGGGGGTCCTCTGGGGTTTTCAGGTTGTCCTCACTCTTTCCTACTTGGGAACCTCATTCTCACCTTCCCCTGCTGCTCTGGCTGCACCTCCCCTCTGCAGCCCTCACCTCCTGCGAGGGCTTTACCCCTGCCTCTGAGCCAGTGGCCAGGATGGCTGGGTGTGTCCAGAGTGATAGGGGCACAGGCATGCCGCCTAAGAAACACAGACCTGAGAAGTGTTGTCTACCTTCCGTGTGCTAATGGGGGCGCTCTGGGAAGGATCTGAACTGCGCCTGGGTCCTGCATCACCATCTCTAGAAACTACATCCCCCGGCTTCCAGAGTGCACACGGCCAGCCCCACTGAGGTCCCAGGGCTGAGGGGGAGGAGGAGAACGAGGACCGGGGGGTCTCCCCTCACCCTTCTGGACCGTGGGGCAGGCAGCTCGGGTTCTTGGAGGCTGCTTCTCTCACATTCCCCTTGTGTCTGCTGTGGTCCAAAATGTCTTTCTTTTTATTGCTGCGCCCTGTGTTAGGGCTCAAAGATGTGCTCAAGCCTCGTTGGTCCTTGTGACTAGACTCATCCTGATGGTGCTGATGCTGGTATTTGAGGCGTTCAGCTTGTGATCTCCGGGACACAGGAGAAGTGTTTCCTGGACATGTCTCTGGCTCTGGGAACTGCCTGCCTCACAGAAGAAACTATACTTGTCAGGTTCTGTAGGGCACCCATAGGCCTCTGCTCAGTCGATGCTTAAAAGCAGATGCAGAAAGAGCTTGAGTTAGAAGGTCTTAGCTAGAGTTTCTGTCTATGCTAATAAGTAGAAAATGGTGTTTCTTGAAAAATACTCTGTTTCAGCTTGGTCAGCATCATCTCAATGTTCAAGTCTTCTGGGCCCCTTTTAGCATCTAATCCAACCACGTTGTCATCCAGGTGAGAAACTTCAGCCCCAGTGAGGGGAAATAACTTGCTTGAGGTCACACAGCCAGCTAGGGTTAGAAGCCATAACCCAGGGCCCTTTGGCACCACCTACATGGTTGGTTGAATAAGTGGCTGCATTTCCTGGGGCCCTGAGTTTTGGAGAAGCTGGTTAGCTGGTGCCTCGGCACTGGCTGGGAGGTGTCAGCAGTCAAGGGTGCTGGTGGGACCTCAGTCTTTGCTCTTTTCATCAGGAGGGATAGTCTATTGGATTTTTAAGTGAGGGTCCTGGGGTTTTGGATGCAGCTTAAGCAAAGAAGGGATAGAGATTCCAGTGGGTTTTTCCTTGAGGGCAAAGACACAGTTAACCAACCCTCAGTTTCCCCTTTTTAAGTTAAGAAGAGAAGTGGTAAAAAAAAAGTCTTTGATTCTCCCCAATCCTCATCAAAGGTGGTGAATAAAAATGTAGGCTCAAGTGACGAGGCAGGACAAGAGCCCATTTCACTTTCTTCACCCTGACCGTTTAAGGTGCCAACGCAAACACTACCTTCTTCATTCAGTTCTGAGTCAGGAAAGGCAGGTCTGTTGTAGGGGAATGGTTGGGTTCCAGGAGATCTTATGGCTGTAGGTGGCCGGCAGGGACCTGGCCAGTCAGCCATGCTTGGGATCCTGCGGCTCTTCCCTCAGCCTCTAGCTGCCCCTCTCAAAGGCGAGGGTGGGTGAGTGGCGTTTGCCGAGGCTGCCCCTGCGCCCTCTGGGGGCTGGGTGGGGCATTCTTTTACAAGCTCTGATACCTGTTTTACCACTAGCCCCTTCCCCACCCCAACCCCACATCTCCCTCCTTTCAGCTGGGCCATGTTCCTCTTTGGGAGGAAGGAGACGTGCCCCGCCAGGGCCAAGGACAGCAGAGCCCTGCCTGGTGAGAGGCTGTAGGGGCCGCGGCTCTGTCTGTGCCTTACCAGCCCTGGGGACAGGGTATTTGTCTGGAAGACTGGAATTTAAATGCCATTGTCTTTGATTTTGTGACATTTCTGCTTGGAAGGGTCAATCCCCCCTTCTCGCTCCTTAGCATGTGTGCCAACTCCCCCCTGTCCTGGGCATTACCCTTCCACCCTCCAGCCAGGGGAGCATTGACGTTTAAGTGTGAAGAGATTCCTCTATGTGATAGAACCTAAGAAGTGTAGCTTGGAAATGATGATCCACGTGATGATTACCTTTCCTTTCTTTCCTCTTTGGGAGGAGGTGATTCGTAGACCCTGACTGCCTATGTAATGTAAATAGTGTACATTTAATTTATTGCTATGGTAGCACATTGTATTTGTTAATGTATAAAACAAATTCTAAAAGGTCGACAAATGTATATTTTGTTGCTTAAATGTGTCTTTGCAGAAATTGACAATAAATAACATATTTTGTGTCCATCAGCGTTCAGACTCCTTTGCTTGGGGCCCCAGTCCTGAGCATCGCCTTTCAGTTCACAGGGGTTGAATTCTGGCAGCCCACGGGCCACATCTGCTCTGTGGATGTGTTACTTTGGCCTGAAAAGTATTTTAAAATTTTTGAATTAGTTGCCAATGTTTTAAAACTGACCACAACTAAAATAAAAAACTCCCCCCAAACCTAGAAATTTCACATAAAATCTGAACTTTCTGTTTCTCTTAAAAGTCAGATGCTAGGTCCACTCCTTAGGAGTAGCACTAATTGGTCAGAGCTCACTAGAGGCTGCTCCTCTGGTGGGACCTGAGTGCACCACAGTCCCCACCATGCCCTATTCTTTACACCTGGAGCATTTCACTGATTCCTGTTATTTGCTTGGCCCCTGTAGGCATCTGAGTTTGAGATCCCTGCTATTCACTAATTTGTTTCCATCCTGCAGTTTTCTTCCTTCTGCCCACTTTCTTTCCAAACTATCGGTTCACTTCTTCAAGTATTCTTTCATGATTAAATGCCCTCTATCCTTTCCCCCGTGATTCCCGAATGGCCATGCTCCTATGTGTACTTTGCTTTACAATGTTTGGATGTAGGCTTAGAAGTAATATCTATTTTTTTCCCTTAAGAAATTTGAAGGCAAGGAACAGGCCTTTATCTGCTGGGGCTTGGTTGTGTGATTTTGGACAAATTACTTAACTTCCCTGGATTTACATTTTCTTTTATGTAGAATTGAAAAAATAATCCACACACAAAGCATGAAGATAAAAGTGAGTTCATAATTGGGAAAGAGCTTTGAAAACAATGTTATTCAAGCACCAGAGGTTCAATAATAATTGTCATTGTCATAATAATAATAGTGGCTGACATGTATTGAATGCTTACCATGTGCTGAGTCTTTACATATGCAGTCAGTTCTGTGGGAACACAACATACTAGTTCCTAAAAGTCACAACACTGCAAAATGGTGCAACCGCAGGGCTTATGGAAAAAATAGGGCTAGGGACATAAACTTAAAAACTTAGTGACACACAAAAATAAAAAGATAAGAACTCAATGAAAATGATAGTTTTAGACATGTTAAGAAATGTTACACATGATTAAGAAATACATAAGTACCACAGTAAATATGGCATTTTACTTTGAAACAGACCTGGAGTTGGACTGTGGAAGTGGACATTGGAAGGGCTGCCACTTGTGAGTTATTGTGAAGAGGTGGAATGAGGGGTTTTCTGAAATCGGACGGACAGTAGTAATACCAGGTGTGGGTGGGTGTGGCTTGTAAAACATGGTGTGCCGAGGTAGCTGACAGATGTCTGAGGTGTGTGCATGTGGGTTTTGTGTGTTCCTCTGCAGTTCGATTCAGCTGGGTGTGGTTTTCTGCGTTCACCCAGTATTTCTCATGGGCGAGTTGCATCATTAAATGTACAATTTGCGTTATACTCAAATTTTCCTTTAATATATCAATTGCGTTGGGCCAAATTCCCATTTTCAAAACAAGTGTTACAGCAGAACTGACTGTCTTATCTCATTTAATCATCCCAACAACCCATTAAGGCATGTGTTATTATTATCCCCGTTTCACTTAAAGAAGCAGAATCAAATTTCAGTTTGGAGTCCAAATTTGATGCAGGTTTGCATAGACACGCTGGCCTCAATATGGTCAATTTTGGACCGTGGGGTTCTAGAAGCACAGAGATGTACCTGGAAAGTGCATTCCAGCTCTCTTCCATTCCCTGCCCAGTTTGGGGCTGCTGTTCTGGAACCCCTGTCTGCAGCATCCTGGGCTGCTGTCATCACACCCATGCTCTGTGGTGCCTCATCTGAGCCTGTGGTTTTAGGCTTCCTATTTTTCAGAGTTTCATATTCCATCCATTGGGTCCCCATGGCGGCAAAGCTGCATCTTTCACACAATGCCCCAGGCCTGTCTGTACCTCATGATTTGGCTCCTTCGTGGGTTCAAGTCTTTTTCCCAGAAGTTCGGAGAGCACTGATCCCTGGAGCCTTTGTGGACGTCAAACATTTCCTGTCTGTGGGAAAGTGTGGTAGGATGCGTGGGTGACATTCAGGTGGGCCAGTGACTCCGACTCTCCTAGGGCCCTGCAAGCTCACCCTCAGTCTAAGTTCTGTGCTCAGGTAGGTGTGCCGCCCACTAGATGGGGCACTCCTCCAGGCTAGGGGCTCATTCTTAGGATTCTTGAAACCTATTTCTCCCACCTCAGCATCCTGCAGCTCATAGCAGTCATTGGACATCTTGGGGGCCCTTTCTGCCTGCCACATGGAGAAAGGCTTTCCTGAGGAGCCTGCTCAGGCTGTGCTCAAGTTTTCCTTCAATCTTGTTTTTTGAGTGCCTGCTGTGTCCATTGGTGCTACCAGCTCTGCTCTGACCAACCCTAAAACTTTGCGGAAGATATCAGTTGATGAAAGTCTCATTTCAGATCAGGCTCAGTTGTGTTGGTTTTAAACTTCAATTCACATTCAATTCAAAGACCCTCTGGGGCAGGCTGGCCTGGTGGGTCCAGTGTCTTGGAGTAGGGTGTGACAAGCCTCCTTCCTTCACCAAATCTTAGTCAGGCTTCTCTGATCTCTCTTTTCAACTAGATAATCCTTGCCCTGTCTTTAGCCTGCCCAGCCAAGTTTTAGCAAAGAATTCTGCTAAACCATTTTATCAAGAATCCCCTTCACCCCCCATATCCAGCCAAAGGGCTCTTAGTAATTTTCCATCAAGTCTGTCACCCTGCCCACTGGTTATAAATCCCCACTTGCCCCTGTTGTATTTGGAGTTGAGTTCAGTCTCCCCCCTGTTGCAATAGTCTTGAATAAAGCCTTTCTTACCTGTTGAACTCCATCTGGTGCAAGTTTTCTTTGACAGGTGGCTCATCTGCCCTCACACCGATGCCCCTCCTTCTCCTCTGCACTTCCACACCAGTGTTGGGGATGGGGTGGGGAGAGAGGCAGAGGAGACCTTGCATTTTGAGACCACCCCTGAAAGAGCACTGAGTTAGTCTGGGTACTCTGAGAAGCTGACACTGAGACAGGAATAAGAAATTTATTAGAGGAAAGGCCTGTGAGAGAGAGTGCGGAGGGAGCGGGAGAGGGCTGAAGAGCCGTCAGACTGGGATGCAGGTCTGACTCCGGTGAAGGAGAAATGGGAGGATGGGAGTTGGGTGGAGGCATCTTTGATGTTGGTCTGGTTCTAAGAAAAATTCAGCAAGGCTGTAGGGGAGTCCCCTAGTCAAAATCGCCCACCAGAGGAGTCCCGCATATTACAAGAATGAGCCTAAAATTACTATCCCTACCTCACCCAGTCATAGTTTGCGAGCAGCCTGTGGGAAGCCTGGCTTTGGCGCCAGCCATGGAACGCAGCGACGGATTTCGGAGTGCAGCAACTGAAGCCATTGCTTAATTTATGCCCCCTGCAGTTGGAGACCTGAGAGGCACCTTCTCACAGCTGCCATATGAACTTGCCCCAGTTTTGGTTGGTTACAATTTA